TCTGTTGCTCTTCACTACTGCTTAGCGATGCGTTCACTGCAAAGCATGAACGTTCATGCGTGAACAAGTGAAGAGCAACAGACTTCGTTCACCGCAAAGCGAGCGCATCACATTTATCGCATAAATCTATCGCATGAATTTATTCAGCGTGATGGATTTAGCGCATAACAAAGCCTAGGCGACGACACAAAAATGTCTCTTTTGAAATTAAATCTGATGCGCATATTTTTGCACGTTTAAGAGAAGAAAAATTCAACCAAAACCATTTATTATATGAACAACAACACACACACAAAAAAAAATTAGCATAAATTTTTACATTTTTGCCGCATTCCAAAAATAAGCACACAAATCACACATGCATTTTTTTTCAAAAAAAAAAAAACTTAAACTTTAATTCAAGCAAATTGTGGCATAAGGCAAAAACATCTATTATTTAATTATAGTGAAATATTCATTCTCAAACAAAAAAAAAAACATTGATGAATGGTATATAATGGTGAGGGAAAATTAATTGTGACATGTGAATTTGAAACCAAATTGAAAACTCACTCACAATCAAATGAAAAAAAAAAGAAAATGTATGAATGCAGAAAGAAATTTAAAAAATTTAATTATAAATGAATCAGTTTGTAAAATAAATAAAACCAACAATATATATTCAAGATTTACTGGTTTGGATGCTTCTTTTTCTGAGTTGGATGTTGTTCTTCTGGGCTAACGTGAATCGTGGATAAAGGTAAGCATTTAGATTCAATGTTTCTAATGGCAACTTCTTCCCATTTCAGGTATCATTTTCTTAACTCAATAAGCATTTTGCTCCTAAGCACATTTAATTCCATGCCACAGAATGACAATTTTTTTCTTGGAAAATAATCAACCGGTTTTGGAAACGATCGGAAACTATCGATCGATTTTGGAAATGAAGTTTTTAATAACGGAAAAAAACGAGAATAAAAGACAAATGTGTGTTAAAATGTTCAGTTCTCAAATGAATTATCTGGAGTTCAACTCGTTATCAAGCGATTTAAAGCGGCCAAAAAATTCAAATTCCAAACGACTGACCTACGAAAGATTTTCCATCGAACATGAATAGCTAACGAATACAGAGAAAACAAACCAGAATGAAACACTTTGATTTTAGAATGCGCTTAATAGTTACTTTTATTGAAATAATTCCAATTAAAATTCTAATATGAAGATGAAAGTGCAGAAAAAAGGGGAAAAAATAGAAAGAAAAAGAAAAATTGAAAACGAAGAATTGAAAATTAAAATAGATAGGATAAATAAAATAAATATATAAATAAAGTGTGAAATTGAACGAAGCGAAGAGTTATCAGTGTGCGTATGTAGTGTGGTCGAGAAATGCGGAAAGTCATGCAGACATGTATCGAGTGAAGAATTCAACCGGTTAAGCTTGTAACTGATGAAGTGAACTGTGTAGAAACGTAGGCGAAAGTAGCTGCTGCACCATTAAATAATATATTTATGACTGGTATTAAGTTGCACACAGCTCCGATCCTAGTTAATATTGCGAGGATTTCAAGAGCGTTAGTCACAACTCCACCGATACAGGTGAGTGCGGTGCTGACTGGATCAAGTATATTCTTGCCTACACTGGCCAAAAGTTGGCCAAGAAGCATTAAGAGTTTAGGTACACCAACGTTGAGGAACTTGGTTAGACATTGCATCTCAGACGTTACAATTGAAATTAAAGGTATTTCTCCCAAAATTCCTGGAAAATTCTGAAAAGACAACAACAACAACAAAAATTAGTAATTTCACAAAACTCCATACAGTATGTTTAGAAATAGATTTACACATACCACGAGTAAAAAGACCAAATCCAAAATATCATCTGCTAGATTTCGCAACAAATGATTTATGATAGAACTAATTGCAAAGAGAATTTGACATGTATTGGAGGTTATTGTGCGTACACCAGCCATAATCGCGTCGACTGCATTAGTAATACAGTTCACAATTTCAGCAACAGCATAACCAAGCGCAGTAATCACACTTAAACCGAGAACTTCAAATAGTCCCAAAGCGTTCGATTGCAAAACAGTTCCCAAGGAATTCAACGAATTTGCCAAGCTTGCAAATAATGGCGTCAAACTTAGAACAGTTGTACAAGTCACAAAGGTGAATGCCTTCGTAGCATTCCTTACTAAGCATTCAAGTTCTTGGACATCAAAAACAAGGGTACCTAGACAAAATGACAACAACATTCATGATTTCTTTCCAATATATGTAGATTATTCTTATATGGTTCTTCTTACCGGTTAATTGACTGAAGTCTTGGCCAAGTATTGCTTGAACAGTGTCTGTTAAGATGAAATAAAGAAAATAGCGTTACTCAGATTATATGAGTGATCTTTTACATAGGAAGTGGTTTTTAAACAAATCATTTCCCAAGCTGAGTCAAATGAACGGATTCAACATGTTTTGAATTCAATATGACCAGCTAAAAATCGCATGAAATAGCTTTGAATCTTACCTAAGGCTTCTTCCAGTATAATATCAGTTAAACCACAGGAGATACCTAAAATAAAGAATTCACAATGTCATTCTCATGTTGAGGTACAACATAATTTTTGTTTTCAGAGAGTTGTTGTAAACATCGATTCATATAACTTATTATTCACATGTTATTTGCATACTTACTTGAGAGTAGTGCTTTCACAGCGGCAACAACACCTGTAAAAATTAAATTGCTTTTTACTTGATGAATGTAGCAAATGCAGATATGATTAGCTTAGGTAGGGACATTCATATTTACCGATAGTGAGAGGGAGGGAGAGATAAAGAGAGAAATGATAATTGAATGATACGTACCTGAAACCACAGCATTTACTGTACTTGCAGTTGCAGTAACAACATTTCCTAGAGTTTTTGGTAGGCCTGCGATAAAGTATTCAGAAAAGAAATGGAGTAAATGCCTAGGGGATTCATGCCAAATTTTATTTAGCAAAATCTATTTGTATTATTTAAATCATGTAAAATTCACGCTAGATTTCAAATATTTTGTATTATTTCCCGAATGCGTTGTTATTGTTCATATTCACCTTGAACAATATGTTCTGGAAGTGGGTTTTGGTGGATCTTCAGGATGGATCAGACTGGGTTTGACAATGCCCTGGCCCATCCTGAGGATCCACTTCCAGAACCAGGAGCGGTTTTGAACAATCCACAGGATCCACCAAAACCCATTTCCAGAATTTTTGAAGCGATAATGACGTCAACAGATTGGACATGGTTCTGCTGACAGTCGGTTTATTGAACAAAATTGAGCAAAATTGAAATTATGCATACATATCTGTTTAATATGTTGAAACATAAACCAATTCATATTATTTGTTCATATTTTAAATATGGAAATTGGCGTGAGTCCCCTAGGTAAATGCATCTAATTTTTAAGTCTACCGAAAATGCTGAAAGTTTTTCAAATTCAAGAAAACTGACAAGAATCCGATTGTACATACCACCTATGAGTCCACCTACGAGTCCACCTCCACTTCCACCTGAAAACGTTAGAAAAACAGGGGTTATATATCATAGCATATCCACGACGCAAGTCATTGTATAAGTGGCGTGTGTTGATGCGCACAGCTACATCGACTACAGACAAACTCTGCGCTCTCTGTTTGTACGTAATCGATGTAGCTGTACGCATCAACACACGCCACTTATACAGTGACTTGCGTCGTCGATATGCTCGTATTCGTTTCAACTAATGTAACTTACCTGCTGTTTGGGTGGTTTGGCCTAAATTCAAAGCACTTGTCAATCCATTCAAAGGAGTGCCAACAGTAGTGGTCAATTCGTTAACCAATCCTGAAACAGGGTTAGAACTACCTGCGCCCAAAAGGCCAGTAACAGCGCTAAGTGGAGAACCACTTCCTCCCAGGAGACTAAGTGGAGAGCTACCGGCCGTATTGCCAAGACTGGAAGTCAACCCACTCAAGGTAGTGCTCAACCCTGCAACAGGGCTAGAACCACCAGTTAGTGTCCCCGTCAATCCACTCAAAGATTTCAATAGACCTGTTGCTGTGCTCGTCAAACCAGCTAAGCGAAAAAAAAATAAAATTATAGCCAAAGTAACATTTAAATGATAAAGTAGAATCTTACTGAGTTGGCCATTCGCAAGAACCTAATATGATATACAATTGAAAATAAAATGTGTGTCAAAGCTCTGAGAAAGATAAATTGCCAATTCTTCAAAGAGAATGAGAAAAAATTGAAACAAAACTTACAATTGAAGATAACAAAGTAATAATGATGAGCTTCATATTGAAAACAAACTTTTTCAAAAAATTTACTTCAAAAAAAAAAACGCTTATTCACTTTGAGCTGTTGCTATGGTTAAGCTAACTCAATTTTTGATGATTCTGAACACTTTTCCCCACGGTATATATGCTTGATTTTTCCCTGCCAAAAGAATGATAAAAAAAATCGAAACATGGTTAGCATATGGTTCACTCTGTTTAAAGGGACAACATTTAATTGTTTGCATGGAATACTCTGTTGATTTTTCCAACAGTATTTGCACATTTTTTGATTGTTGAACAAAAAACGAACAAAAACAACGTTGGTTGAAATGAAGGTGCGTCGAATTTTGCGATTATTTGGTTGTTGTTGATTTTGGACTTGTCTAGGTGAATTGTCACTCATAGCCAACTGTTTATACACATAATATGCGACTAACATTCCAACAGCGGACGATATATCATTTACAATATTTCCTTTTTTTCCATTTCGAAAAATCATTCACCTGTGCCGCCACCATGCAAAAATGCTCATTCGATAAAGAGAATCGAGTGTAAACATTGCAGCACTACAAACAATACAAAAACAACATGCTTATTTGCTCGACTTTAAACTGCGCAGTGTGCATTACAATTCCTTCGTAGGTGGAATATGCGAAATGGCAAAAATGCCTTTATTTCCAGCAAAAAAAGGAATGATCGAGAGAACAAGTGGCTGTATCCGACGTGTATGTTATACATTGGGGGATGTTTATTCAAATAATCGTTAAAAACCTTTACAATTGAAACAGGATTGCTCTCGCTGAGCGAAGCATGGCCTACGTGACTTCGACAAGGTGCGCGACATCGAATTATTTGCATATTGCAACTATTTTATTTTTCTCATTTCTTCTTGATCATTTTTTCAACCTGTTTATTTTATGTGTCGATCATTTTTACTTTAATTTCTTCCGAAAAGTCACGTACGCCACAAAAGTGCTTTGACACATTGTTTCTCCGATCTTGATAATGATCTCATTGACTAAATACCGCCAAAATATTGTTTTTTCTTCATCATCGAATGAATGAATACTCGTTTTAATCTAGAGATTTTGCGATCATTTCGAATATACACTCGTTCAAAGCTTTTTGTCTTTGTGCTGTATCTTCAGCATTTTTATCTTTTAAACATTATGATTATATGATAATGAATGCTCGATACGTAGAATGATATCATCTTTTCTATTAGTTCCCATATACCGGTTCTGCTTTCCCTTTTCATCCTCTCTTCGTTTGTAACATTCCGATATTATCTTTTCCTCTCCTATCATTGCCTATGATTTAAAGAAAAACGAAGAAAATGTCGCACCCAAGTTCGGTATGCGGTTTTTCATAAGCATAAATCGAATATTACAATTCTGAATAGTACTTTGTGATGCGATCGAAATTAAAAACGCAATCCACACGTAATAGAACGAAATTAACGCATTCGGCTTAATTTTGTATTTTATGTCTTTGGCATGTTCAGCCTAAAATACATAATCATGCACTTAGAATGAAAAGTACTTAGTCATCGGAATAACAAACTGCACATGCAGTCTCAACATTGTTCACTACAATGTATTCGCTTTGAGAGAGAGAGAGAGAGAGAGAGAGAGAGAGAGGTCATTTTATTTTCATAGCATTCGATTGAGTTGATGCATTTCAAATTTTTATTTTTGATAAATTGAAAAAATGGTTTTTATTGCTGTTGAAAAAAGTATTTATTTTGAAGAAGAAAAATCGAAATAAAAAGAAAAACAGCAAATCGTTTATAAAAGTGAAATATGCATGTAAAATATGTGTGTTAGCAATTGTGCAAAGAACTGGGCTATTGATTGAATTTAATACTTAAATCTAATGGTAATAATGACACAAATACTGCAAATACGAAGTGGCATCTCTTTATGTATTGAAGTTGTTCGAGTTCGGATCATTTGAAAGTGTTGAATTTGAGCTCAGGCAACGAATGATTGTCACAATACAAGAGATAACCACAAATATTTGTGCCATTTGTGATGCATCTTAAATGTCTAGATGGAAAAAAAAATAAGTAAAAAAAAATGGTTGAAGCTGCGAATGGTCATCATCAAATGGGAAGCTCTTGAAACATCCTCGAATGCGTTGGATTACATTATGGTTAAGAAGTTCGGTGATCCAGCATTCAAAAGACAGATCAAGCTGGGTAGGAGGTTGTTGATCAACGAACAAATTAGATTGAACGGTGTTGGCAATATGGCAAGCGGTCCAAGTAATCCGAGAATTGGCCCAGTTACATTGTCCAAAAGGCAACCGAGACTCGCCGAAATGCATTCGAATAGATCATCCACAATCGCGGCAACTGAATTTTGCCTCAAAATTTGGGCCACATCCTGGAGTGAAAATGATACACCACCCTGAAGTACTACCAATGCACAGGAGATTGAGCTTCCAAGAATTTGGATTATCCGTTGTAATAGATTTGATGGTGGATTCGCCTGTCATTTTCAAAGAAAGTTTTTTTGTGATTATTGTACGTTTGAATGCGTTCAAACAAAGGATATTCGAATTCAACATACGAATAGACAAGAAATCGACTGCACACCGTATAAAACAGAGTTTATAGCCAGTGACAAACCAGTTGTCGCGTGAGATACAGCGTTGCACAGTCCAGTTGTAATTCTTTGAGTCTTTAGAAGCCTAGCCAATGTTTTTACAATACATTCTACCACTTCAAGGATAGAAAGGTACAGTCTAAAATTTGTCAATACGATTGTCAGCAGAATGCCTTCTAAATCGTCACACAAATCTTCAATATTGCTTAATACTTCTGCCAACGTGCACAGTAAACTACCAATTGCTTGGAATGCATCGCAATTTCGAAAGCCGCCGAGAATGTTAATGATCCGATTAACTGTGGCTATCAAATCACGGATGATATTACCGAGCTGATCTGTAGATAAGAAAAAAATGTATTGACCTAATGCTTTTATTACGATTTCAACAACTTATACTTCCTGATCCGCCCGTGGCACATCCTCCAAGTAAGTTATTGAGTAAATCTGTGAGAAAAACAAAAAAATATTAAATAGAAGATATTCATCGGAATGGTTGCGCACATAGACTTACCGAACACAGTTTGAAGAATTCCTCCATCGACACAGCCGCCGCCTTAAAATAAGAAATAGAATGTTTGAAAATCGTTCAAGATCGATAATATATTTGAAACAAAAGTGCCTTACCTAATAAATTACCGACTGTACCGAGTAATGAGCTTACTATATCTGTAGAAGCACCTTTTGATCCAGTATCACCTTTTGATCCACCTGTGTTGTGAGACATAAGTTTATCAATTAAACAGCGTTCTCTGTGATGCAATACACAAAATATATCACCTTTGAGGATACCAGTAACTCCATCCAGTCCAACTCCTTTCAATATACCTGTCATGCTATCCAAGGGCACTACGCCACCTTTTGCGAGACCAGTCACAGCGTCCAGTGGAGAGCCACCAGCACCTCCGCCTAAGACACCTCCAACAATGTTAGTGACTGCATCCAAAGGTCCAGCACCTGCATAAAAATATTAGATTGTGTTATAATAAAAACATTCAATCATACAATCATTCGCTTATCAAATGCACTGCTAATTGATCCAGTATCACCTTTTGATCCACCTGTATTGTGAGAAATAAGTTTATCAATTAAACAGCGTTCTCTGTGATGCAATACACGAAATATATCACCTTTGAGGATACCAGTAACTTCGTCCAGTCCAACTCCTTTCATTATACCTGTCATGCTATCCAGGGGAGCTACGCCACCTTTTGCGAGACTAGTCACAGCGTCCAGTGGAGAGCCACCAGCACCTCCGCCTAAGACACCTCCAACAATATTAGTGACTGCATCCAAAGGTCCAGCACCTGCATAAAAATATTAGATTGTGTTATAATAAAAACATTCAATCATACAATCATTCGCTTACCAAATGCACTGCTAATCGAACACGCTAAAGCGATAAGAATTGAAACTTTCATAATGCTTAAATGACTTTCTCTTTTACACTAGAGTGAAATCGCTTTTAATTCTTCTACACAAGAAGTTTTGCTTTTGAAATTTACTTGTAATCAAGCTAGCTCAATTTGATTTTCCTGTGCTAATCTCCACCCATTATATACAGTTATTTTCAAAAGATATTATTGCAAAGAGTCGAGCCAAAAATCCCTGAAAATCGAAACTTCACACATTTCTCTACTTCATTGCGATAAATAAGTTTCATAGTTTTCATTTTGCTTCAAGTTTTTTTCACTCCCTTTGCATGTTATTTTTAAAATCGTTTTCAATGGGTTGTTGAACACGGTTGTTATTTGGAACAATTCGAACAAAGGAATGGGGTAAATTAAACAAAAGGGTCAATGAATTTGATATATTAAATATTATAATTCGAATTAATGTCGAATTCCATTTTTTATTCTTGGAAATTCGATTATTTTCTGAGGATTAAAAATAAAACATGATTGCATGGCGATACTGGGGGAATTCGATCAACTTAATGTCATTGAAATTTGTACTCGACAAGTGAAAACCATGCATTTATTTGTAAACAGCCAATATCGGTCAATATTAAGTTTCTCATAATTGTGCCGTATTACAATTCTTGGAATTGAAATAGGCCGTAAAATAGCCAAATAAAATGTGAAATGAGGCAATTTACAAAAATAGCCAATAACAAGCTCAACCGATCGAATAAGTTTAATTAAATATTTCAACAGACGAGTACGCGTAAAATTATCAGAAGCACGTAGCTTAAGTAAAGTGCGTTCTCTCTCATTTTTGTCCTTTTTTTCTAAATATATGATGAACCTATATCACCTCATGATGGAGTTTTTTCAACTAAATAACTCACTTGTCATTTAATGTCGTATCAATTTCTCCCAATATTTAATATGGATTCATAATTTTTTAGATATAATTTCATTGTAATTTTTGAATATATTCTTTTGGATCATAATGCACAACTTACTCTTTTCTACAAATAATCATACCAATACCAAACAATGGAAGTATACATTATGAAGTCATGAATAGCTCAATAAATCAAGATAGAAATATTCAAATTACACATTATATTATTATGTAATATAAATGTGCGAAAGAAACGAATATATATACGCGGTTGAAAGTTAGATTTTCTTTTCAAAAAGAAATAACCATTGAAAATCCGTTTACATAAAAAATTGACCCCGATTTTCCATTGTAATTTTCGAGCTATGATCAGTTGAATTGATCTCGCAAGACTTATTCCGTTTCATATTGATATCAAAAAAAAAGTCTCCGCAAATAAGGGTTATATTCATATTTTTTCAAGTGTGATGAGCAAACATATTATCTTGAAGCGTGAGAGAAAAAAGACGAAACGATAAAAAACGATCAGTTCAACGATTTTTGTGCTTATGTACATAGTCATTTTTTGTATACTGAAAAAGATTTCACCTGTTAATAGGTTTTCCTTGTATAATCATTATCACGTATCATCATTTGCTTGAAATCATCGACTGAAAAAAAAAATTATGGTTGTTTTATTCTAATCGCATCGTGTGCAATTGATTAGTAAACAGTTGTTGGCATGAAAAATTTCCTGTTTCGAATTTTCGAGTGACCGCAAATTCCAAGTAGACAGAACAGCGCTCTGTGCATCGTTGTTCGCAATAATTCCAAATGGATTCATCCATTTCGATGCCGCTTGCATTTTTCGTCGTTTTATCAAGTGATTGAATTTGAGATCATCTCGACGAGTTGTGAACCGAAGAAAACGTATTGGAACAAAATAGAAAAGATGCGGAAAAAGAAAAGAAAAAGCGATACCGACTTTGCACTTCGATTTTTTTTTCTTCCAAAATTCGATAAATTGATGGAAATATACTTCGATTTTAGCAAATAGCCATAGATTCATTTAAAGGTTATCGTGGCCTTTCCACAGCTTACCATCATGCACAAACAGACCTACGATCTCTTCCATTCGAAATTTGAGTGAAATCGATGAAGGCGTAGAGGAGAATGGCTATGGAAGTTGTTAGTGGAATTCAGAACATAAAACGCATAAAAATAACACGAAATTCCCTCTTTTTTTACATACACCATCTGTTGGCAGTAGTCTGCGTTCACATGGACAACTGATGTACGAAGGGATATTTCTTCACTGTTCCACCAAATATGAATCGACTGCTAATTTCTCAATTTAAATTGAACGCTTAGAAGCGGCAAAACGATTGGCTGTAAAACACAAATTCTTCAGTTAATCGAAAACATAAACATTTAATTCGAAACGACTTTGTGTTATCTTTGTGTACGATTTAAACATTCAAATGTAACCTGCATGCAGTGTGACCAACCGAGTGGTGAAAAAGCGAACTAAAAATATCCCAGTTGTGTGAAAGGCAACAACAAAACAAAAACAACCAGATCAAATGCCAAATATAGGTTTGTTTCACTCCGTTGCATGTGCCCAGACACGAATGCAACGCATATAGCTGTCTCACGCAAATGAGCTTGTTCCGTACTTTCTTTCTCGCTTCGTAAAAGTCAAACGAAGAAAGAGGAAAAAAACTCGCAGAGTGAATCCAAACATTCGTCGCCATTACATTTTCAGTCATAATAACGGAGCAGAAGAAAGACATAAGACGAGTAAATCATTGTGTATTGCCTGAAAATAATAGAAATAAATAAAATTAGCTCGTTTCACTTCGTAACATCGAACATCATTGTTATCCCTCCGCATAAATAGTTTCAATAGAGAAAAAAATAAATTCGAAAGAAATAATCAACTACCTAGTGTATAAAGAGAAAAATAAAAATTGTGTGTATACGAAAGAAAAGGGAGAGAAAAATCGAACGAAAATAAAATAAATAAAAAAAATGTTGCAATTGCATCGGAACAAATGTGAATGAAACAGAGAAAAATAATAAAAAGAATCGGTTTCGGTATTTCTGTGTGTGATTTTCATTATTTTTTTTTCTTTCATTCGTTCTTCCGTTCATTTCGTATTTTCTGTTGGTGAATTTTTTTCAATTTGGAGTGCGACAAATTCAATTGGTGATTATACAGAGGCGAAAATAATGTTTGATACGATTGCAATCTGTGCGATATCCACAACGAAGAAATATTTTTTTGAAAATTGTACGGCAAGCAAATTACATTTCAATCCAAAAGGTAGACGTTTTGCCCAATGCATGTGTGTGTATGAGTCCATTTAAATGATGAGCATGAGAGAGTGAGCGAATAAACGAAAAAAAAAAAATGTTATTTTGTTCTCGATTCTGGACACAAAAATCTCTGACCCAATGTTGCGAATTGTGTGTGTGTGTTTTTTTTTTTTCACTTTATTCTCCACTCCTTTCTCGTGTTGATTGTAAAAGTTGATTGCATTTCACGTAGCATTCACACCGATACAGTTTGCGTGTGCATTTGTGTGAGTGTGAAAGAGTATATGGCTTTGCTTGTGCCCTCAACAGATTGACAGATGAAAGAGTGCGCATACTGTTTATTATTTAATGAAAGAAAATGCAAACACTTTTTTCTTTCTCTATCTCTCTCGTTCTGTTCCTCAATTCTTACACAATTTACACTGAATGCATTCATTTTCGCTGGAATGCCAGTGAAATTTTCGACGTTCAGTCAAACAACGACAGTCGATTTCTGTTGAAAAAAAAATTGTTTGTTTAAAAGTGTCAATTTCGGGAATAATCTAAATCGTTTGCTTTAAAGCGCCACCCCAGTGGCTTTCTCTACATCAGTGTTTCCAAGCAATGAAAACCATTCATGATATCAATTCGTCGAAATGTCCACTATCTTTAGTTCTAATTTCCTGAGAAAAATCATGTTTTTGAATTTGACTGATAAAGAAAAAAAATATGTTTCGAATGCTTTCAAAGACGCATGTGATTCATACATGTCGTTAAAGTTCACAGTTAAAGGGCAGATTTTCTTTATGCATGCACATCAAAAGAAAACACACTAAATGAACAAATGAAAGAAACAGTATTAACAGTTTCGTCGAATGTTTTTCATCCAATCCACAGAAACACATCACAGCCAAACATGAATGACCGTGAAATCCCGAGTGTACCAGTAACCACGCTAGCTGGTCTAGCAAGTGTGTCCGACTGTAAGTATTTTGTAATGTATGAAACCGAAGGGATTTTGCATCAAAATTTTTGGTTTTTCCTTAACCTTTTCGGTGTGTTCATTTGCAATTTTTGTCCATTTGCAGTGCTAAGCGAGCTTCCAATATCAGAATCATCGGTTGGTACGCCGTCAAAAAAGTCATTACTCTTTCATCCGCGTGTCGCTGAAGAGGCCAACCATTTGCTGTCTATGAAAGATGATGCACTAACACGCCAGCTAACTGCAGCACTCGAACAAACAAATGCAGATCACATGTAAGGCAGTGTGTCTTCAAAACACATCCACCGAATCTCACCGACACATTGAATGCCGTGACAAAAAAATAAATACCCAAAACAAAATCAATGAATAATTGATGTTGAATTTCATTATCTTTTCCAGCGAACTGAAGCCGCAATATGTGGAGCAACAACCTTCCGTAACGAATATGAATGAGTTGCCGCACCTGCTGCAGGCAATACTCCAGATCAAGCAAAATGTTTTCAAAACGGGCGGTCAGCAATATCAACATCAAAGACCACGTAAGTGTACAAATCACACTAACATTTTCAGTCCATGCTTTTTACTCGTTGTTTTTTTTCCAATCATTTTGATCTGTGCGTGCGTGCGTGCGTGTTATCCAAATTTTTATTTCTGAAAGTAACAAATGTGTGTGTGTGTGTGTCTGCTAATATCAGTTTCAATTTATATGTACATAAGATTTATGACAAACCAATATGTTATTTAACTGCCACATTCACTTTCTATCATATCTCTTTTTTTGCTTTTTTCTCTTTTTTTCATCTATCCTGGTTGGCCTTTTGTTTTGCTTATTATCGTCTAAAATCAAATAAAACCACAAAAAAAAACTACCACCAATATTCATCACGTATTTGTCTACCCGATCAAAATTTAAAAAAAAAACCATAAACAAATACCATTGAATAGCCACCCAAACTAATCACATGTATCAACATGCCCAAAATTTGAACTCAGCGCAAAATTCGATGCAACAAAATTCATTTTGTTCAGCAGGAAATCAAATGCAATGGAACCAACAACAGCAACAGCAACAGCAACAACAGCAATACTCGGCACAATTACAGTCATTCAATTCACAAAATCCAATGATGCACACACAACAACAGATGCAATATCAACAACAGCTACAGGTAAGGAAGGTGACCTTTCACCTTCACGAAGGCGGCATTTTCTCCTTCACGAAGGCGGAATTTTCTGTTTTACAAAGGTGGAATCTTCTCTCAATTTCGCTTTGAAAATCGATAGATTTTCTAATTCATATTCTTTTCAATGCCGCTCTAGCAGCAGCAGCAACAGCAGCAAATCTATAATTCACAAAATCAAATGATGAACTCCACGCAACACATGCAGTATACACAACAAATTCAGGTAAATGACAACGTCTCGCTTTATAGTATAAAGTTTATACATGCGACCAGTGTCAACGAATCAAGTCGATCCGATCAATATTGCAACCACACGAGTGGTCAAACCATAGCATTCAACTAGACTTAGAGGATGAGCATTGAGCATTGGATTCATTCTAATTTTTTTTTTCCATTTATTTCTGACGTTGCAGCAACAACAAATCACTCCGAATCAGATGCCACAGCCGATGGTTGTCAAGCAGGAGTACCCAAAACCAGAATATTCATACGGAAATATGGATCAACGGCCACAAGATGCCTATGGAGTGCAGGTAATGGCATATTCATGTTAGGCAATTGTAATCTAGAATTGAACATTCACAATGGCTTCCAAAGTCAGAGTCAAAGTCATTTCAACAAAAGGGAATTTTTGATTAAACTACAGCATAAAATCTTGATTTGTTTACGAAATTCAATTCATTTGCGAGGAGAGAAAAATACAAAATGTGGCATTGTTTCATGTATTGTGTCTTGAAAATTGTGTGTATCAAAACAAGAAAATAATAACAAATTGTTGACTTTCGTTTAGCAAAATATGTATGAGATGCCGCAACAGGTTATTCCATCGCAGCTGCACCAGCCGTATCAAGCGGCAGAACAGAGTCAGCAACAGCAACAACATCATCAACAACAACAACAACAACAACAATCGTACCAATCTGTTATACAAAATCAGACACAGCCTATTCAAAACGTCGCACATCACCAAACACCGCTTGGAATGCCGCAACAGCAGCAGCAACAGCAACAACCACTACCAACACAACAACAACAGCAGCAGACGCTCCAACAAGGTGCGAATCAAAATTCAGCATTCGATACATTTGATAGCATCAAATCGGCAGCTCCAGCGCAACAGTCACACGCGAACCGTTATGCAAACAACATCGGGTATGAAATCGTACCACGCTCATTTTTGGCGGTAGAAATGACGTGTTCGTGTTACAATTGTTTGACATTTTTCGTTTCAATTTTATGTGTATAGAGCGCAGAATCATAAACTCGGTGGTCGGCCACACAACAACGATTTCAATCAGCAATTGGGACTAGTAAAACCAGAGATGCATCAATCATACCAGCAGAGAACGAACAATCAACTGCAGGCCATCAATGAGATCCTGATGAAGAGTAAATCAGCACTCAACAACCTGCAGAAGAATCAAGAGCATATGAAGGTGTTCCCAGAAGATCCACCGCCACCGCCAAAACCGGCGCCGGGCCACTCATCAAACGATAAAAAATCGCTGAAAATCCAATTGAACCGACTGCATCCGGAGCATATCGAACAAATGGGCAAAAGTGTGTCGGAATTTGCGAAAAATTCACCGGAATCAGCAAAGAAACTGGGTGTGATCAAAGACGAAGTGGATCTCTTCTCACTCATGAAAGCCGATGAACGGAATCTGAAACGAAAACCGGCAGATAATGACGTTTGCCCGTGTAAGTTCAGCAGATTTTTTTGTGGTGTTTTTTTTTGAAGAAGAAGAACAATATTTTTCTGTGTTCAAGTCAGATATTTCAAGCAGCGAAACATTTTTGTGTTGAGTGAAACTGTTCATGTTTTGACTTATCATTTGTTTTATTCTTCCATTCTTTCCATTCCACAGTTTCACAGCCGAAGCTCAAGCGAATTTGCCAAGACAGTAGCCCGAAGGCCAATCACGAAGATGTGCACAAATCGCAAACCTACCAACAATTCGTTCGTAATATGGAAAATGAGATCGAACATTTGCAGGAAACGGAACATTTTTACAACAACGGTGAGTCAGCGGCTCAGTTACACTTCATTCATTTGCACTGTAATGTCAATGATCCGATTAATTGTGGTTATGTTTATCTGTTTTTTTTTTGCCTTCAGACGATGTTGATTACCACAACGATTGCATTTCGAAGAAAACACTCAATCAGCTATCGAGTGATGTGGCCAAACTGAAAGCAAAGGGTGTTGTTGACGCGCTCAACAAAAACAAATTGACGCTTTTGATTAATTTTGCCATGCGTAATGTGGATGTAGTGAAGAATCTATCAGCCGGTCCGGTGAGTGCTCGATTTTTTTGCTTGTCCTTTTGGATTTCTCTTTGTTTTCAATAATATTTTTGTTCATCTCATGACCGTAATTACACTTCAATCAAACGCTTGATTATTGTTTCATTTGTTTTCGATCACTCACAATTTGAATTCAGTTGAAATTTAATGCGACCAATTCTTTTCAATTGTTTTTCCAATGCAGCATTGGACATTTTTAATGAGTCCATTTTATCAACACAAGAATCGATTATAATCAAATTCTTTGCTAAATTACAGGATATCGAAGACGATAGCGAGGAGCAAATTGATAAAATTTTGGATGCGGCCGAAGCATGTCTACTGGTTTGCAATTTGTACTCAACGACAAAAGATGTGAAATTTCTGCAAGAGGATAACATGGATAAAATTGTGAAATTCGCTCAATTGCAAATGCGTGAAACGATCTTTCCGACATTTGATCCGGTGTTCTCGTTGCGAAGCACCAAAAAACCGGATGGCCGTAAAAAGAACAAGAACCACAACGTAAACAATAATCATGGTGTAAATGTGTCGCGCAAAGTGCAACTGTTGTATAATAAATTGGTGGAGTTGACGCGCATTTTTGTCACATTATTTGACAAATGTACGTTCATCGACACGATCGTGCTGGCTGTGTCAACACTGGCCGTTGAACCGTTCTTCGTAGATAACATTGAAGCCATGCAATTCGCTTGTCTCGAACTGATTACAACGGTAAATGACAACGACACCGACACACACAGCGTGTGTGTGTGTATGCTAAACACATGTGCTAATCTCTTTTCTCATTCTTTTTTTTTGTGTAGATATTCCGCAAAGAGACCTATGTGAACTATCGAAATAGTATTTTGAATGATATTTTCGCATCGGTCGATCGTCTGCCGCAATCCAAACGCAATATGCGACCGTACAAACTGTCACATAATGGCGGGAGTATTCAGATGATAACCGCATTGGTGTTACAGCTGATTCAGAGTTCAACCGTGCTAGCGGATACGTTGTGTGACACGAGCAAATCACGGAAGAAGATTAACCAAGGCGATATGGATGCCAAATTCGATAAAGACGTCATTGTGAAGGAGAAACATGACATTGCATTGAGCATTGGCGGCAATTTCTTAACCACTTTCCTCGACAAATGCAAGTCACGATCGAGTGAAACCGATTTTCGGCCGCTGTTTGAGAATTTCATCACCGATCTACTGACCACAGTCAATCGACCGGAGTGGCCAGCTTCGGAGCTGCTGCTCAGTCTGTTGGGCACACTTTTAGTGAAGTATATGTCAGACAAAACGATGGATCAATCGATACGAGTGGTTTCGTTAGAATACCTTGGAATTGTGGCCGCACGGCTGCGAAAGGACACCGTCGAATCTCGATGTAAGGTCGATACAATGGATCAACTCATTAAATGCATCAAATTAGAACAAGAGAAGGAGAATGATTTGGACAATGATGAGGTGAGTGTTAACATTTAAATATAAAACGGTAAAATTTGAGTGAATTTTTAACGCAATTTCCCATCTCCATTCAATCCAGTGCAAAATCGTGGTCGATCCAGAGGAAGAACGTACTGAATTTCTTCAGCGCATTCTACTCGATTTTCTGGCTGTCAATGCACACGAAGACAATTTGGTGTACGATTACGCTCGGCATTTTTATCTGACGCAATGGTATCAGGATGCACAGCAGCGAAAGAAACGTGTTGCTCAAGGTGAAAAAGGATTTGCATCGCGTAAAAAGCAAACGAAGAAAAATCGCAAGTACCGAGACTCCGAATCATCGCTGGACGATGATAGCGATGATGATGATAATGTTAAAGAGATCAAACCCGGTGGCACCGATCAGGAACTCAATTTGGAAATCTTTCGATTGCTTGACAATCGCAAAAAGTATTTGCTGTCGAAAATCAGCTCATTCTCACCCAATAGCAATGTGCAAGACATAAAAACCTACATCGATTACAACAATGCTAATTTGATTGCACAGTATTTGGCTAGTAAACGACCGTTTTCGCAAAGTTTTGACATTTATTTGCAGAAAATTATTCTAGTGGTGCGTGAACCATCGATCGGTATTCGTACGAAAGCAATGAAATGTTTGGCCTTAATCGTTGAGGTGGATCCATCGATATTGACGCGAAAAGACATGCAAATCGGTGTAAGTCAAAAGTTTTTAGACACATCGATATCGGTGCGTGAAGCGGCCGTTGATCTGGTGGGCAAATATGTGCTTAACAGTCCAGAGTTGATTATTCAGTATTACGATATGTTGTCGAAACGAATACTCGATACGGGTGTCTCGGTCAGAAAACGGGTCATTAAAATTCTGCGCGACATTTGCATTGAATATCCAAATTTCACCAAAATACCAGAAATCTGCGTGAAAATGATTCGACGCGTCAATGACGAAGAGGGCATTCAGAAATTAGTCACCGAAGTTTTCATGCGAATGTGGTTTACACCGTGTGCGGACAATGACAAGGTAAATTAATGGCGAATTATTCGATTTCAAGGGAGCATTTCTAAAGATTTCTTTCATTTCTTCTAAAACAGGCATCGATTCAACGAAAAATCAACCAGATGATTGACGTTGTCAGCATGGCACATGACACTGGCCTTCAATGGCTCGATGGCCTTTTGACAAGCGTAAGTTTTGTTACTTTTTTGTTTGGATTTCGGTTTAAAGGATCGCAGCATTTCCATTCTTCGGTTTGAGTTTGATTTGATCTCTTTTTGTTCGACACAGTTTTTTAATTCATTTCCCTTTGTTTAACCAATTTATATTTGTACAATTTTGTTAACAAATTGTGTTCTCTCTCTGTGTGTAGATATTCACACCGAAGGAAGAAAAAGACATCGATCGAACGGCGAATGCGCCAAAGAAAGAGCCACCGAAAGAGGTAGTGAAAGCGTGTCAACAGATCGCCGACGGATTAGTGAATGAAATTTTAAAGTTTGAAGCGTCTGACAGTAATAAAGTGTTGAGTTGTGTGACAACATTACATTTGCTGGCCAAAGTACGACCAGCGTTGTTGATCAATCATGGCATCACATTGGAACCCTATCTGAATACGCTTGCAACAACTGCCAATGGTTTGAAGTTCATCAGTTGCATCGCAGAAATTCTGGAGCAAGTGGTACCACTGATGGAGCATCCGAGTGAATCGTTCTTAGTCGAACTTGAAACACATTTGATGGTGTTAGCATGCAGCCATAATCAAGCCGTAGTCAACAGTTGTCTGTCTTGTTTGGGCGCCGTTATCAATAAAATAACAAAAAACTATCGACTCATTCGAGATTGTTTCGTGAGGTAAGCAGGCATTTTTCTTCATTTTGTCCACATTATTCGAAATTTTCAATCGCAATCAATACTCTAAAAAGTTGACAAAATCCCTCGTTCCGAACTGAATTCTAATCAAGTGTTCTCATCTACATTCAATCCACAGATTCTACAAGCCAATCATCAACAGCCACAATCAATTGCAAAAGCATCCCAGCTATCCAATAGCAAACATTTATCGGCCGCAATTCCGTCGAGGTCTGTTCACAATCGGTTTGATAATGCGATTCTTCGATTTCAAGCAGCCGACTGTGTACGGTGAAGGTTTGGGTCCAGAAGAAGCCGGTCTGCCGTCGACCATTTGCAGCGACACATTCGAGCGTTTGTTCTATTTTTCGTCAGTGCCCAACCACAATGAGATTCGCCGCGAAGCGCTCGTTGCTCTTGGCCATTTTTGTATACAGAATTACGATTATTTAGTTGATACAAAACTGCGTAACTTGTACTGTGATATTCTGACATCGGAGACATACGATGTGAGCGTGAAAATTATTGTTCTACGCAATATTCAAATGTATTTAAATGATGCGGACATGTCGATGTCGATGAAAGACAAAGATTGGCAAACACAGTCGTTGGTCGAGAATCTGTCGGACATGAATGATGTGGCATCGGGCATGGCGTCACGAATCATTCAATTATATCTCAAGGAAATTCTGAGCAGCCTACTCCATCGCGATGTGAATGTTCGATCGAACGCAATCAAAGTGATTCAATTGGTGTTGCAACAAGGTTTGGTGCATCCAATGACCATTGTCCCATATTTGATATGTCTGAGCACCGATTCGGTGCGTGAAAATGCCCATCGAGCCGATCATCATTTGCAAGAGATCGACAAAGCGTATCCTGGTTTTGTACATATGAAATCACAGGCCGGCATTACGTTGTCATTTGAACTGCAAACGGTTATACAAAATAAGGAGAAAGAACGAAGCGCTGTCGTTCGAGGCTATTGTGTGCGAAACAAAGACGAACCACCAGCGGCACTGAATAGTTTTCTTTACTCATTGCTACGCACAACGAAACCTCAACGACGTGCTTTGATGCAGGGCATTGTCAAACAATTCGACGAACAAAAGACAACATTGCGACAAATGATCTATTTGGCCGATAATTTGGCGTATTTTCCATACACGATGCAAGACGAACCACTGTACATCATTCATCAAATCGATTTGCTGATAACCGTTGCCGGCACCAGTTTACTGCAGACATTCAAAGAAAATCTGAAACCAGTTCCAGGCCAGGAACAAAATGATCCCAACGCACGTAAGTTCATAATTATCTACTCTTAATTTGCGGATTTTTCATATTTTGAAATGCAGCACTTGACATGCTTGATGATCAACGTTCATTAGAATTGCACGCTAAATTGAACAAACAAAAAAAAATGGAATTTTAATGACATTTTCTTTAACTTTTTTTTTTAGCGAAAAACATTCTGGAAGATGATGACGATGATGAAGATATCGAGGCTTTGTTGCACCGACTGCCAGACAGCACAATCGAACTTCAGAAATGTATAACTGCCTCTCAAGGTTGCATTCTTCTGCTGATGTTGAAACAACATCTGAAAGACTTGTACAAAATCAACGATAAGTAAGTTATTTTACTCTGGTGACTTTTCTCTTCTTTTCATTGAAAAATCGCAAGAATCGCCAAACATCGCCCAGTTTATTCAGAAATAGACACAATTTTCCGATTTTTTTTCTTCCAATCAACATTGCATTTCATGTTGAAAATTATTTCAAATAAACCGTCTAACGAATAAAACGTTGCATCCTTTAGCAAAATCTCTCGATACACTCCATCGGAAAATGCCAAAGTGTACGAAAAAGCCGTTCACCGTGTTCCAGTGCCGAATTTCAATCCGAAACAGACGATTGACATCATAAACTCAGAGCGATCGCAAGACATTGAGTTGACAGAGGCTGAGAAGCAGCATTTGCTCCAACAATACCTCGATGTGAGTACCATTTATCAACCAATTTCATTGTTTTCATTGACCTGTAGGTCGCTCTGAATGAAAAATTGTTTTTATTTCCTTAACTCAATGCTTCATCTCTCATTTCCAAAAAAAAATGCCAGTTCAAGCAACTCATGTTGAAGATCGATAACGAGGGATCGGATGACGATTCAGACACAGCAATCAACAAATCAGCGACAACCACCCCGAAAAAGGTCGATCCAAATGAGTATGGTGGCAATGCGCATGCACAAGTTCAACAACCAACAATTCATCTAAACAATGTGAATAATGCAATAATAGGCAATGCTGGTCAAACTCCATTACAAGCTCTTCCTAAGGTATTGCCTAATATGAATAATCCATATTACACCTGATGCAAATGAAATGACAAAAACCAAAAATAATTTGCTAAATCAATTCGTTCAAACCAAACACTCTCCTTCCTTCTCTTCCCTAATTTATTTTTTTTGTTGATTCTTTGAATGTTTTCTCTGTTTTTCGTTCTCTCATCTGTGTATATATATATATCTCTCTCTCTCCTTTGGAATTTCTTCATATCCACACAACAATAACAACACTCACCAATACGCCAAAAAAAAATCAAACAAAAAAACAAAATCGATAATTTAATTCATTCCATGTAGAATATGATGAATAGCCATGGTTATCCGACACCAACGTTGGCCACAGCACCAAAATCGATGCCGATACGCAACACAATGCAAAAAACGCCAAAACGAAAGCAATCGCGTAAATCAGCATCGCGTGGTGGCAAACGAAGCAAGAAAAATCAATTTCGATCATCATCTGAAGACGATGCCAGTGATTACAGTGATGACGATTACGAATAGATCCCCAAGTAAAGGCGCACCAAATCAAATCAAACGAAAAACAAACACAGAAAGAACCCACAACGCATGTCTCTTACAATCAATCTAGTTGCTGAACATATTTCGCTTTCTTCCCGTATCAATCGTGAAATACTGAACTCTGTCTCTCCCTTTGGTTTGTGGCCAATCAATAGGCAATCCAAACAGAAAATATTGTACAAAAAAAGACAAGAAGGTTTAACTCTTTTTTTTTTCATTTCGAAATTGTTTTTCCGATTGGAAAATGCTTTGGTTCTTTTTTTCCGTTGTTTCTCTCGAAAGATTTGTTTATTTTCATTTTTGGATGCGCATTGGGCTATTTTTTTTTTCCTTTTTTTTGTAAACGAAACACAATATCAGACATCAGAATTTTTTTCATTTCTGTCACAGTTAAAGATGAGATTTCAAATTAAGAATTTGTATCAAATAGATTGAAGGAAACACCTTGTTGTAAATGTCCGTTTAGACTCAATCTGGATTGAATTGGATTGAAATAAGTAAAAAAGGACGCAGCTAAAAAAATGGTTTAAATTAAGTGTACTATATTTAACAAATGAATTGAAAAAAGTTCACCTTGAAAACGTAGCATTGAAAAAAAAACATCTGAAACACACTCACACACACATCCACATCTATTTATAATAGCAAGAAATGGGAGGAAAAATCAATGAATCATACACACAATCCATAAAATAGATATTATAAAATGAGCAAAAAAAAAAATTAGTTGGAATTATTTATTATTATTCATTGCAAAACAACAAGCTCTGAAAAATGTTAGCGATTAAGTTTAGAAAACGTGAGAAAAAAAAACATTTTTTTTTCCTCTTCGGAATCTATGAAAGAAACAAAAACACAAAATACAATTTAAGTCAATGGACAATGGCAAAGCATATAAGATGTTAGAGTGAAAAAAATCTACGACGACGATTAATTGAAATACAGACAAAAAAAATAAATAAATAATTTAAAATGGAAAATATATTGAAGATATATTTGAGTAAAAATTTAACGAAAAGTAATGAAATAAACAAAAAACAAAAAAATCCCTCGATAAATTTAGCGAATGTAGTAGATTTATTGTACGCAAATTTTTGAATATAATCAATTCTGTATTTTTGTGAGAGAAAACATTAAGCAAATGTGTATATTAATTGAAACAGAAGAAGAAGATACGACCGACCGAAATCGACAAATTCATTCAAACATCATCGACGACACATACAAATTGATGTACTAAAAACAAAATGAGATGTAAAGTTTAGAGTTTATATCATAACAAAAAATATGCCACAAACCTTAAATAACAATGTAATTAATTTGTGCCCGTTTTCAATTTTGTTTTTCTTGACTCTTTCTCTCTTCTTTTTCAAGACCAAGATTTGCATTTGATTTGTAGATCGTGTAATTTGTTACGTCTCTCAGTTTATTGATTCGGCTCTTTTTTTTTCGCACGTGTAAAGAGACAACAGTAAAAACAATTTGCTTAGTTTTACGAATGAATTGGCTGAAAAATGGAAATAAAGAAGACGAAATGATGAAAACCAAGTTAATTTCCCCATTCATTGGTCCCTTAGTCTAATCACATACACACACAAACACATCCCTTTTAAAGAATTTCTACGCATATTTGCAGAAATTTCTTCCAACTTTCTACATATTTTAAGAATTCCTTCTTCTCCCAACAATTTTTTTTCTGTAAAAAAATATTTGTAGCGTTTAAGAGTTTTTTTTTTAAACAGAAAAAGAACAATACTGACGAAATGATGAAGACGAAGGGAACATATAGAATTTAAATGGTATTTTTTTTTTGCTCTTGCGATTGAATAAGGAATCAGACAAAATGGAATTATGTGCTAATTCTTTATTTCGTTTGTGTGCTAGTAAAAAAGAATATTAAGAAAAAGTGAAACAAATGCAAATGATGAAAGAATATTACAGAATTTCTAATTGTTAGCAAGATCACGCGCGTACACAAACACTTGTATCATGTATTATTTTTAACTGAACTTTTTTGCTAATTTAAAAATAAAAAGAATGATGAAACATACATTGAAAATGGATTCAATCCGAAATGGGCTTCTTTTTCTCTCTTTTTTTCTGCCTCAATTTTACTCAAAAGAGGTTTTTGGCTACCAATCGACAATCGGTAAGAATACACCTAAAGTTTTTTTTTTGGTAAAATGCAAAACTACCAAGCATTTCGAGCATTTTTTTTTTGGTTCCAGTCATGGTGAGTTGCTACAACAAAATGGACTTCATGTAATTCTAAAGATGGCAAGAAAATTTACAATAAAATTCAGACAAAAAAATATAGAAACAGTGACTCATAATAAAAAAAAAAACACTGGTCGAATGCTGTGTATATACACGAATAAGTTGTATGTGGTTTAGCAAAATCATTACCATTTTTCATTTAATTTCATGCGTGTTTTTGCGGAGTTTCGTGTAATCATAAACTTAACGATGATTCAGTACATTAAGCAATTTGCTCATTTTGCGTGTTTTTAATTTTTATTGGAGTGGATGTGAATTTGGCTGTGCAATTTGCATGCATAATTCAAAGCAAAGCACTTGTGCAAATACGCACAGTCGAGAAATGAAGATGTTGTGAGTCGCTTGGCTGTGTTTTTTGTATTAAACAATGCATTCTTTGTCGCATCAGCTGTACGATAAATTTCAATTTCGGGATAATTTACATTGATTTCGATGAAGTATTTAAATTACAGAAATAATGTACACTTGGCTCTGGTTCAACTACATCAGCCAAATGGCACCACAGGACTTTATACATCCGGGGAAAAATGCTATAATTCATAAGTTTGTAGTGTCATTTCCGTTGTAAGCTTCGGTAAACTACTTTCACTTTATGTGCTTCGCACCTCTTGCACACATAGCATCGGGAGATATAACACATTCTCCTTTCCATCTTTATTATTATACTTAAGAGCGGCCATAAAGTTTTTCGCAAAACCCAAAACTACAATCATTGCAGTAAATACGGAATGAAATTTATGCGCTTAAGTTGAACGAGAAAGTTTTTATCGACTCGTTACTGATGACCACAAAAGCAGCGATGTACCATTCAAAATGAAATGAAAGCAAATGAGATAAAGAGTAGTCGACCCACAAAAAGTGTGTGACAGAGCGATTCATTCAACAGAAGAAGAAGAAAAACAAACAAAACGAAGATAAATTTCTGCGATGCAATGACAAATGTCTGTATTTCAGTGGCATCGAACGACTCGTGTTTTATAATTCATGCGGCGTCACATTCAAACGAAGCGTACATTCGTGAAACCGTGCTAAAAACATTATGTTCAAAACATTAATACGAAGAATATTACAATCATCATCAAATCGTTTAAAATCAATTTGGATAAGTTGCTCTTTGTTATATGGTAAGAACGAATTTTCGGTTGTGAGGCAAAACGAACTGCGAGAGAGATGGAGCGAAATGGCAAATTGTGTCATGGTGAACGAACGAATTTTGAATGTGTTGGAGTCGCGTGTTCAAATGGCTCCACCCTTTTCGAATGGTGGTTGATATAACCAATGATTATTATACGCGAAATGGAAAAGCACAAACGACACGAAAATACCATACCATTGTTGTTCAGAGGGGGCTGAAATATGCAGATGCTTGTAATATCCATGCGCTACTTTTTTTCCTATCGTTTTTCCCTGTTTTCAATGGAGAGTCATCTCACACATTGCCCGATTTACCAAACGTGTTGACTACGATGAAAAGTGGATAAAGTGCAAGTAGCTTGCGACCGTTCTTCACCACCGTGTTACACTGTGAACCGCACACAGAATCACACTGTTAAGTGTAATTGTTATTACATCCTGATTGGATGAAATCGTTTTAGCCTGTTACATGTGATATGCTTTTATGGTGTGTTGTCTCGTTTGCTTTAAATATGTCGCTCGTCTAAACACTTTGTAATGTGCTCGATTTTCACGGACAGTTGGAGCTGTGTGCGAGACTTGGCGAAAACGAGTTTGTCAGTCATTATCTGGCGTATTATCGGTTCACAAGGACTTTTCGATTTCTTACAACTCGACACTCACTTGGATTGTGGCGAGCCTGGTGGTTGTGTACTTTGACTGTGTTTGTGTGTTTCATAACATCAAATTAAATACCAATTCGTTAAACAGTCTAGACAGACAGACGATGATGGCTTAGTGTGGCTCTATTTTATTGTGGTGCAAATTAAAAGATAAACCAAAGTTTAGAATTATTTCGCTCGATTTCGATTTAATTAGAGCAGTTTTTTTTCTTCCATCAAGTGTGAGACTGATTTTAGTGAAAATGGAGCAACTAGCACATTTTGTGACCAAGTCATTTGAATATAATAATAACCACAGTCGTGTGTTGGATGTTCTGAATCTTACGACGAAATCGGGCATTTTCGATCATTTGAAATCAAACGATTCAATGGATACACTATCAAATCCGGATTCAGATGATAACGATGCCGATTCTATCGATATTGATATTACTGACGTTTCGTCCAATGATGGCAACGATAACGCGAAAATACACAACGAAAATGATAATAATAACATTAATGTCATCCGACGAACATCGCCCATTAAGAAATCAAGCAAAGAAAATCAGAAATTGCTCACTCGGAATTGGCTCATATCGGATACACCGAAGAGGAAATGTGACAACGGTTCGTTTTCATATTGAATTGATTTATCTGCCGACGGCTTTTGTCATGTTTGAGTTTAAAATTTATTCGAAAATCAGTTTAGATTATTTACTTCCTCGTCAGTTTCTTGACTAAAACTAGATCAAATTGATGATTCAATGATTCAATTTTTTTTTTCTAATTTCTCTTAAATGCAAATCACTAAGTTCATTTGGCTTTGAAAACGGCCAATCATTTGATTTTTATCAAAATATAAACCAAACTTGCTTATTTACTCCAAAATCTTTATGGCAAATAAAACAGATTCAAATCTTAGATGAAATTCCCAATTTTCCGCAATCAGAATCTTTGAATATTTTATCCATGCTCATGCTTGTTCACAATAAAACATTAAAATCTAGTTTTTTTTTTCAATATCTTCCTAACTAACACATGCAATTCTAAAAAAAATCCTATTTTATAGACAAAAACATCGAAGACGCTGAATCGGAGGTAGCTTTGAATTTGATTTGTGTGGATGAATCAACGCGACAAACCATCGACATACCAATTCGGCCGCGATCTGTGAGGGAATTTAAAAATGAAGTGAATAAAAAACACAATCGTTCGAATGATGTGATCAAATTTGATTTGGAAACGAAACATAAAGTGCGTGTGGATAGAACAGATACAAATTTGCGATCAGGTAAACAAAATTGCTTCCATTTGCAAGTACAAAGTAGTTTTTATGATGATAAATGTTTGCGTTTTGGAACGGGTGAAAAGAAGATGAAGATTTTAAAATCTACAATATAAAAATGAATAAATGTTTTCAATGTTGAAGACTTTCGCTTGAAGATTTTAAACGGTAAACTTGAAGTGTAGTTCAATTTCTCTGACTTTAATGTCCAATGAAGTGTATAAAATGGATAATAACATCCCCTTCGATTCAATTGATTATTCAAAGTGTAAAATTGTCAATAAAACTGAAAACAAAACGCCCATAAAATGTTTGGAAGCAGATTGGAAACATCGGATGATTCATCGACGATTATTTACAGTGAAAATGTGCAAAACGATGTGCATTTCAAATGAAAATCATAAAAAATTTCCAACGACACTCAATATAAACAACTATATAAAGAATCTCTTTAAAAACGCGACCATAAATAAATAATTTGTATTTCGGCGTTGAAGTGACGATTTGCAAAATCGTAAAAAGAGTACGAGTCTATTAATCAAAAATAAAAGGGTAGTAATGAAATTGAATCGAAGAAAACAGACGATATTTTAACCGCAGTTTAACAGCCGTCGGTCGTTCATGGCATTATTTATGCGTTTTGGATGCTCATTTTCTGCAATTGTTTCCGTTTAGTTTATGTAAAAGAGGGTGACAATTCAACAAGAAAATTAAATTTACCACCCGGGATAACATAAAAGCCAAACCATAAAATTGCTCGCTTTACGCAACGTATCGATGCAAATTTGAATAGGAAACAAATTTTGCAAGAAAAAATAGAATTGTAATGAATAAATCAATCAAGTGTGGGATTAAATCGTAAAAATTCTTTTGTAATTTCAGAGTAAAATCGAAATTTGGCACATTTAAAGAATTTAAATAGTTTTTGAAAACGAAATTGAATTAAAGCACAATTTTTCCTCCTATTCACAGACAAAGAATCAAGGATTCTGAAGCATAAGCAACCGAATGACGTTGACGAAAGAGTTAAAGACAATAATTTGAGCGTGTTAAATGGTCCGAAATCGCACGTTATACCAACAAAGTCTTCAAAAGGATCGAGTGATACAAAACATGAAGGTGTTTCGCAATCATCGCTGGCTGCATCAATTGCAAGTGCAATTATAAGTTCGAATCAAATTTCGAACGGTGGAAATAGTTCCCAACTCTCAACGAATAATAACAGCACCAGCAATAATTCGCATAACAGCAGTAGTTCGAATAACAATAGCATTGTGAACAATAAACAAAGGCGATCCCGTACCAATTTCACGTTAGAGCAGTTGAATGAGCTTGAGCGTTTGGTATGTTTTGCATTGATGATATTTACTACACAGAGAAATAAAAAAAAAACAAATGCACTCTTTTTTTACTTTCAAAATACCGTTTAGTTCGAAGAGACGCACTACCCGGATGCATTTATGCGAGAGGAATTGAGCCAGCGCCTTGGACTAAGCGAAGCCCGAGTACAAGTAAGTGTGAAAACTGTCCAACCGACAAAAAGTGGCAACAAAACCACTTTAGTGCACCAAGATTTATGCCACTACTTTTAAAAGCAATTTTTTCGCAACTTCACTTTAGCTCTACATGGATTTTTATTGAAACATCAAGCTAATTCATTACAGCATACTTTTCTCTCCTTGTTTTGCTTTTGGCATTGTGCCGCCGTCATTTTCCATGCATTCAACGACGCAGCCAAAACCATTTATAACACTCGATTCAATCAATTAGTGGAAATTAATGTCCATTTTGTTTCGATTTAGTCGCTGAATAAAAACATTTATCTATATTTATCGGTTGGATGTGATTAAACAAGTTTTCAGTGGTGCACTACACTGGTGTATCGGTTCCGGTAGGGTGAGCGGATGTAAGTATTCCGCTCAAACTACGATTATGTAATGGTTTTTTCCCTTTTTTCTCTCTCTCTCTCTTGAGATCTCTCGATCCTGGGATCGAATCAAGATTATGTCATTTTCACAGCACATTACATGCAACAGCCAAGATTTTATTCGACTGTGATTTGCACACACACACACACACACTCACACACACACTACTTGTAGCTATTAATATAATAGATGTTTATTCATGGGTTGTAATTTCGGCGCGTAATATGGCTATTGTCACCCCATATACTGATTGAAGACAGTGATTGATAGCAACCATCTTAATTTACTTAAGTGTTATTTTATGTGCGCTCGCCCTTTCAAAATCTCACCACTATGCCTTGCTCTCTCTCTCTCTCTCTCTCTCTCTCTCTCTCTCTCTCTCTCTCTCTCTCTCTCTCTGGTTCTTCCTCATTCACTCACACGTTGACTGTCACCCACTTGTTCTGGTTGTCAAGTGTGTAGAAACGTAATTCTGTTGTCGATGCGGTTAATTTATTTCCAGCCTGAAAAATAGTACAAATGTTCACTTTTCAATTTGATTTGATGACTTTCGAAAACAAAAAGCAGTTTTTCTTAAAATGGTATCGCTTTATTGGAGAAATCGCTTTTCATATGAAAGTGAGACGCTTCTACATCTATTCTCTTCTCGTCATATGAATCTAAATTGAAGAATAACATTTGAAACAGTGATAAAACTAAAAATACACAGAAAAATATATTTGTTTTCCTATCGAAAATTATTTTTGGCATTTATTTATGCAAAAATCGAGTGCAAAATTAAGTAAATTCATTGAATTGGCCAAATCAAACGTCAGACCATTTGAAAAAAGTAAACAGAACAATATTTATTGATCCAATCATCGCTTGTTCTTGTTAAGATAATCTTCTTGGCAGTTGGTCACTTGCATCGATTCCATGTGTTTCAGTTTCGATTGCGAGCACAACCACATATTGGTAACTAAATAAATCAGATAAGTGAATCATGTCATGTTTCTCGGTGTATTTCGTCTGACACTGGCCAAATTAAAATATTTCTTTTTTCACATCGTGTCCATCGCTTCGAAAACAAGCCCACCGTAAACCAATCGGAACTCTCCAAAAACACCAACTCTACTCACTCACTCCTCCCGTTATGCTGAAACAGCCCGAGCCACAGCGATGAAGAACGTTCACAAATCTTCATTTTGTGTAAACATTGCAATTTTGTTCATGTCAACATAAATCACCACGTAGTTGGCCATTTATATAAAAACAAGTGGGATATTTGGTGTTCGGTGTGCTAGTGCAGTGCGACAAAATTGAAGGCTAATGTGTTGCTGTCATATATATTTTCCGTACACACAGAGATACACTGAAAGTGAATCCTTGACGTTCTTCGTTTTTTTTTCTCCTCTACACACCGTTCACAATTGAATTTGGATAATTTTTTCTCTCTCTTTCGTTCGTTGGTTTGTTCACGTTGCTGCAGTCAGGAGAAAAGTTTTCCAAATGAATTTGTTTGCACTTGTGATGAATGCATGTAAAGCAATTCGAAAATCAAATTAAGGTCATTGAGTTGAAATTTTCGGTTTTCCTCGTAATAAAATTACACTAAACCATTTTCCAACTGCAACTTTTGTAATTCGATTTATTTTGTCGTTTTCTTCGGTATTTTCTAGGTGTGGTTCCAGAACCGCAGAGCCAAGTGCCGGAAGCATGAAAATCAAATGCATAAAGGTATTTAAGAAGAATGTTTTAAGAAATTTTATATTTGGTTTTCTGGCGAATTTAGAAACAAAATCTTGGAACAAATAAAACGTTGGAAAAGCGTTCAAGTACAAAGGATGCAACGTCTTCATTACATATTCGATTATATTCGATATTCAATTTTCTTCTTTTTTGTTTGGAAAAGGGGAGCGTTTGCATAAAAATCACATTTCAATAATTCTGACTAGATTTAACATCGATTGAATGATCATAAACTTCCCGACATTGTAAATCAAACAAATCAACCCAAAAAATATGCTCCTTTTTCACACTCTGGAATTATAGATTTTTATGCTCTGGAGCCAACTGAGTGTGCTGCATGAAACCAGACGAATGAAATATTCCGTATTGAACGGAGCAAGAAAAAAATGTATATCCAATTGATTTTTCTCGGCAACGTCTTGCATTTGCAATCATAACATATTCTTATTGTGCTTTGGGTTTGAAAAAAGAAGAAAAAAAAAACACCGAAACGGGAAGAAATGGCTAGTGTATTCCCAGGCTTCGTGTGTATCACAACGATGTACACATTTTATTTTGTTTTTTATTTATTTATTTATTTATTAGACGTTTTATCCAGTTATTTCTACTCCTTTTTTTCGCTCTCAGAGAGAGAGAGCGCTCGATGTGTACGTGAGGTCGGCTGTGCTTTACTATTTGTTTCCCGTCGCCAACGTGCGCGATGTGCAAATTGAAAAATTGGTTTGCGTATAATTTTTGTTTACCAAGGAGCACCGTGTTTTTTTTCTGTACTCGATTCTCTCTCTGACGGTGAATGGCACACGGACATAGAGCGCGAGCAAGTCACAAGGAGATAGAAAGATTGAGAGAAAGAAAGAGAGAAAAAGAAGCAGCAAAAAAGCTGACTCGATTCACTAGACGATGTGAATGAAATAAAAATATAGCGCACGATGTTGTTTTTTAGGTAACTACTAACAAACAAATCACATAAGTCAGTCGTTGGGAATTTAGATAAATAAAATAACTGTAGAGAGGTTAATCAAATAAATGGATTTGCTGGGGGGTGTGAGCTCGTGTGCGCGGGCGCTCGCTCGCTCACTCGCACGCTTTTCCGGTCGAAGCAGGGAGACTGAACACATTCTCTCGACGAAAATGTATACGGTGTGTTCAAAATCTAGTTACATATTCCCTACGTTTATCTCGGAGTGCAAAAACAATGCGCTGGACTCGTTTGCGTATTCAAATAAACACAGTATGCCGCACACATAGATACACACACAGAACCAGCCAATTACCGGATCAAATAGAAGCATAAATTCCTGATTTAATCATCATTAATTAGATAATTTAATTTTCGGCACAAAATTTCCTCATCGTATTTATTCGCCGAAACGACAGCATTTATTGAATTTGTCCAAAACATTCGAAATTACCGATGATGTTCCGCGTCCAAAAAAATGTCGTTTGATTGCATTGCACGCATATTTTGACTGTGTGTGCGTGCGTGCGAGTGTGTGTGTGTCATCGAGTATAGACCTGATGCAAATGTAATTCAATTTCGCAAAATAAAAATGTAAATAATCAAATCGATAATTTTTGCCATTAATTCGTTGTTTATTCGGTTCGAGCGAGCGAACGAGCGAGCGCGCGCGCGCGAAACGAAACGGAGAGAAAACTCTGTCTGCCAATTTGTGAATGTAAACAATTACCGTCAGCCATATTCAAGTGTATTTTACGAGCGAGGACGCCCATTCACATACCATCAAATTGTATGCTCACGTGGCTTGAACCAACCGAAAGCAAGCAGATTTCGAAATTGGTACATTTTCCGCGATTGATTTATCATCATGATGGAATAAATCCACATTTTTTCCATCCTGCTTTCAACTTTGGAAACGTGTTCGAATGTCGGTGTTGGTAAGAGAATCGTCGTGTAACAGGAAATTGAATCAACACAAAATTGAAACGAGGAAACCATGTGATGTGTTAAATGGCAGCAACCAATTCGTTAAACCATTTCAAATTACCGCGGATGAAATCTCACCTGTAAAGTTGCCGTGTATATATACTTTATGGGAAGTGTTCATCCCACTTAAATTCCATGTTCCAAATTCATATGAAAAGAAATTTGTTAATTGATTGAATGGAAATAATTCGTACTTGACATACATAGAAAACTGAAATTATGAACGCCGGCGTAGGAAAACACATTTTGTAATGTTGGTTCGTGGCAGTTTCTTGAATTTAAGTTGAAACTTATCGATCACACACGCTTTTTCTTTCAATTTTTTTCTTCAATCTGTCAAGGCGAAAACCCGGGTGAACGCGATAGGCTTTGATGAAAGCCTACATTCGTTCGATGAGGCTTTCATAACTTTTGTGTACATTTTAAATACTCAATGCCTAGGCTTTCATTGCTATTCTCACTTCTTTCGTGTTTTCGTATCAATGAACGCCTAGGTGAAAAAATGATGAAAATGTTGATTTTACATTCTTTATGCTTTTCATTTCTTTCCCATTCAACGGTATGACAATTATGACAATTTTACTTCATTATGTGAATACAGAATGTTCTATCATTGAATCACCTGCAGAAACGGTTGAAGAAAAACTATCATCTGTTGAAAAAATTACGAAATTGAATGGATTTGTATTCGATGCCAATTCAAAACAAAATTATTCCCTAATCACATTTTATGCGCAGCATCAATCCACATTCTTGTCTCTCGTTACACTCGGGCACTCAACATAACTCAATCATGTAATTTCGTGTGTAACTAACAACAATAAAACATTACACTGTTTATTACATTGATTGCAATGGTACAGAGAGTGTCGAAGTAGTGGAGGTGGTGGTGGTGGTTGGATGTACGATTACCGTAGTAGCTCGAAGCGAAGCGACTGTGTAAACAAATTTAGGGTTCCATAAATGCCGTGACCGTTCCCGTGTTTATCGCTTTCAATTCGATAAACGTGCAATCCATTAGATCCGGTTAAGTACCTGAAGCATTCGAATTCGATTGAGCCGAATTTAACACACCAATAAAATGGCTCAATAAAGAAGATCCTTCACTTGGTAGCGCGTATAAAATAAACTTTTTCCAAATGAAATTCAAAGTTTAAAATAAAGCCGTACCAGTGCTGTGCGTTTTCGAGGAGAAATAGCCGTACACAGCGTGGAGGTGTCTTAATAAATGAACTGCTAATACATATTTATTCATTTTGGTTTTGCACCCATCCACGTGGTGGGATGATGGTGTATATCTCTTTTCGTTGGTGCTTCCAATGATTTAACAATGACTCGTCTACGCTCGGGCATCTTTTGTCGGTTGCACGGAAGAACAGCTCAGCCAGAATGGCAAAAGGGCTGAGAATCTATATATAAATTTGCTAAGTCGATGCGGATTTTCACATGGATTAAACTGTCGTTGATAAATTAGTTATTAATTTACTGTTGGCATTAATGATATGCTTTGCTTCGCCGAAATTCTTTGCCACGTCTTAAGCAACACACATTACACCTACACTTTCATTTTATTAATGAATTGCTAATTAATTAAATGACGAAAAATAGAACAAACGCCTCAACGGGTGAACGAAATAAGCATCGAAAAAGAGTTATTTAGAAAAGTAAACCCTTTTGGCGTTGCTGAATCATTATGAAATTCGACACGAAGGTATATATACGACTTTTTATTAAAATGTTTTTTTTTTTTTACTTTTTAAGTCGATGAATTTGAGTTTTTCCACAAAAGTCGCAATCGCACTCATTTAAATGTGTGCACACAATTTGTGAGGCCATTGCAAATCTTCCGGAACGCACTTACCATAGAAACGAATAAATCTCCGGATGAGAAATGTTGCCATTTCAATTCCGTGTCCCGTTGCTAACAGATGTGTAATTTGTTAAATAAATAGCGCACCGAGCTTCGATTGCGTCTGCATCGTGCTTACGTAATTACGATATTGGTGACTTGTGCGCTCTATGTATTCCGGTCTCTCTCTTTCTCTCTCTCTCTCTCTCTCTCTCTCTCTCTCCTTCTGTCTTTCCATCTCACACTTCCCTTCTATCGCAACATTGCTCTCTTTCTTCGTCTCTTTCACTCTTTCTCTCCCAATCTCACTGAATCTGCGTCTCCTTCATTTCGGCGCATCCTTCGAATGCATCACCGTTACACTCGTATTAATATTGTTGTTTTCCTGGTGTCTGAACAACAACACCAACAACTACACACATTTTCGGTGTATGTCCCCGGCAAAACTTAATAAAATATGTATCGTTTTGTATCTTTTCATATTTGCGTATGTCATTTTGACTGTATTCGTCGCAGCAGCAGCAGCACCAGAGAGAGAGCGAGCGAGAGAGTGTGTCGATCGGGCAAAAAAGCAACCGACCGACGACAGACAGTGCAAATTATGTGCACAAGTATAATTGAATTATATGGATTACACACTGATTCAAATTGAATAAGTTTAAATTTATGCAACAGAAGGGAGTCCACAGAAATTGACAGTCCTGTGTGCGCGATTGAACATACACATGCATTCGCCGTTCTCGTACACCGAACAGTCTATCGTTCGGAATATTCAATTGCAAATAAACTGTCAGATTTACGAACCACACAATTTGTATACGGTGCTTTTTTCTGCTCGCAGTAAATTGATTGATATTTAAATCTGTCCGACCATTCACAGCATTTAAAACATAAATCATCAGCAATGGTTACGCACATTAATTGAATTTTTCAGCAAATGAAAAAGGTGAACGTGTTTGGTATTATTTTTAGCAAATCTCTCTTTGTGTTTTGCCATAATTAAATTTATCGCAGCTTTGCGCTGAAGGTCACGGATTTAAGTCAGATTTTAAGAACTCTTCTGATGAATTGTGTTAAATATAAACGTTATACTTATTACATCAGAATTATTCTTTCAGTGGAAAAAAAAAGGAAAGCGAGAAAAAAAAAACGGTGAACCATAGAAGCAAGCATTCATACGAAATCTCTAATTAATGTTTCTCACCTTTTTTTTTCCTTCACCACGTAAATTATCTGCGCGTTACACGGAGTAGATTCAACTCCCACTTGAATATTCATTGTAGCAAATTCAATTTGTTTGATCAAAGTTAAAAAAAAAAAAAACTGGAACGCGGCACGGGATGAAAAAAAAACGAATTATTCTCATGAAAATAAATCAGAGTGCAGAAAAAAATGGCGCATAAATTCATCGCTTGCTCACGAGCAGCATATTTATCAGAACACGAAGGAACGGCAATTTTCTGCAATAAAAATATAAATAAAAATAATTTTCGTTATTTTTTCTTCTACTCTCTTCGGTTCCATCGTATAAAATTGATGCGTTGTGTTGTCCTGCCTATTGTCGTGCTCCTGTTCCGTGTGCACTTTTTTTCTTCTTCTCTTCTCTTCATTGCAATACGAAAACAATGTTTTAAATTACGTAATTCCCCTCGGGAACCATTATGTCATGTTATTCACCTTCAACACAAACTGGATTTGCAGAACCCTTAGCACAGCATTTTTTTTTCTCTCACTCGTTTTGGGCCGAGAATGATTTTTTGATTTACTCATGTCCTCCTATACCAATATTGAACAATGTTTCCCCTTAGATTGAACAACCGAATAAATATAACAAAACACCTTTTTATCTCGCGTTGCTCTTTTTCATCCCCCCCCCCCCCCCCCTCACAAAGTCGAGAGCAGTTTTATTCAATTATTCAATTTAATATTTCAATGGATTTGATCTGCTTTTTATTCTGTTTGTAGGAATTTTGCTATCGAGTAACAGTCCACCGGTATCAACACCATTGGAACCATGTCGCGTTGCACCTTATGTGAATATGCCATCGATGCGAGCCTCTAGCATCACGTCGGCCACCACAACTCCGCATTCCTATTCATCAGGTGCTGCGGTTGCGGCTGCATTTTCTGCATTCGATCCGGCCTTACTGTCGGTGGCACATCAAGTAAGTTTGAATTCGAATGTCAAAATCTTTTCTCATTTTGGGTTATATTGTTTTTACGAAGAAAATTAAAATTTGAATTTTTATTTTCAGTATGCGGCTGCAATGAACGGAGGTAGTGGCTTGTTTTCCATTCCACAATACCCATTGAATTTAGCCGCTTTAGCTGCTGCACACAACAAAAATTCCAGCATCGCCGACCTACGGCTCAAAGCTAAAAAACATGCTGAAGCACTTGGGCTTGGGCTCAAAGAAACCGCTTCGTAAAATCAAACATCAAACTAATCGGTTGCGAGTTATAGAGACAACATCAGAATATGATTAGTGTTCATTTTATGAGGTTTTTTTAGCGATAAGTTTGGCTTTCTCGATTTGATCTCGATTCCTTATTGGTCTATCTATATATATACTTTGTGCATAATAAAAACTTTCAATATCGAAGCGTGAAATGCAGTTTGAATCACAAAATTATTTTATTGATATTATTGTGATTTTTCAATAGGGAAGAGGCAATATCTTGTTTATTTTGTTTGCCTGTGGAATTTCCAATCTTGCAGAATATGTTTCGTGTATTCAAGTCATGTAAAGGTAAAACGAAGATTGCGAAGAAATAAGAAAAACCACAGTCATAATTCCACACAAAAGTCATATGTAGGTCAAGGGCAAAAAATAACACATCCAGACGGAAAATCAATATAACGTCATGTTCGCTGAATGAAATACACCCATTTGCCCACAACGATCATCTTCAATTAATCAATTCGCCGAATATCTGTCAAACTTTATTGAGCAAAATATGAAATGAGCAATTTATTGGTAGTGAAACTGTGAAAGAGATTCGTTTAACTTTTCCACGATTTTCGATGGCGAACCGTGGAGAGAAGGGAAAATATAGCAAATCGACTTCTATTTGAATGCTCTAGGATGAATATAGATTGTATGCTCAATGTATTGAGTGCTCGCCCATTATCGAATTCAGACAAGTGGCACAACAATGCGAAAGAAAATTTTGTTGTTCGACGAACATTGGAATCTCAAATAGTATTTGTACGAAACAAAGCATATCCCAAGATGTGCGTAGATTCAAACCTCAAATAAACATTTTAACATAAACATAACGAATAGGTTTGTCCACACACAGCCATCTGTTTCTATAAAAACCATATATTGTGCGGATAACAAGCATCAACGTTTTCTTCTCTTTAATTCGCGATTGCTTTCAATCTTTGATCATTTATCCTATTGAAATTCCATTCTATTTCGTTGTCAGCACTCAGTAATAATTTGGGCAACTCATTTACTTTTAAAAACATTTACTTCGTATAAATGACAGTAAACATTAGCGGTAATATTTGAAATTTCGCTGATTCAGAGGTTGCTGCTTAATAGCCTATTGTTTAATCATCAATATTCATTCATTTTTAAAATGACAATTGAGGCTGTGAGAATGAAAATGGCAATACAGGAATAAACATTCTGAAACGCATCAAGAAAAAAAATTCGCAAAAATGAATCATGAGTTCTGAATACGCAAAAGTGAAACATGAATTTACATGGGCAGCATAGGAGGTTCATGGTTCACTTTTGCGTATTCAGAACTCATGATTCACTTTTGAGAATTTTTTTTTTCTTGATGCGTTTCAGAATGTTTATTCCTGTATTGCCATTTTCATTCTCACAGCCTCAATTCTAAATAATCAAAATTTTAAGTAAATCGCGTTGAATAAAAAAATTGTGAAGAAAAGTTCACCGAAATATAAGGAATGTCGGAATTTTTCAAATTTTACCCTTTCCTTTTGCTCCAACAAAGTGCGCTGTAAATGGAAAATATTCAGCTATGAATGCTCTAACGGCATCTATACGGTATAATTTGGAAGTATAAGTAAATGCTTTCGTCATAAAAATAAATGCGTGAATGCTTTCGGTTTACGCAAATGTTTGAATGGCATTTCTCAGAAATGACATTTTAAACATCATTCATGATTCAAATCAGTGATCTTCTGATTACGCGTGGGCGGATCAAGTGATTAAGATCAATTGATCTATATCATTTACCCAAAAATCGCTGTAATTATCGTGATAATTAATCACTTAATCTCAAGTTAAGCATGATTAACAAATGATTAAGATTAACTTGACCGGTTAATCATTTCACCAATGATTAATTGATCACTCACTTAATCGCAATTCGCTCACGCGTACTTCCGATAGGTACAAAAGCAATGCAAACTGATCTCTGAAATTCTGCGACATTGTTCAGTGAGTCACAGAGAGAGAAGCACACAGTTTGGCAGACGCAGAATAATCGATTCCAATTTCTACAGAAAAAGGACGACGACAAACGCAAGATTCAACTTTTTTAGGATTAATTTAATGGATTTTCGTAATTCTGTCCGAAAAACGTGAATCAATTGTTGCGATGACGCAATCGATGTTCAACCTCCAGAACCAATCGGTCCCGGAAAGAAAGGTAATGGAAGCGTAAAAAATCAAAACTAAAGACAAATTCCCAGGAATCAAGCGGCCAAAAATCAAAAGAAGCACAAATGTGATGTGTGCAATCATTTGGTGAGTGGAAAGTCTAACCTCAGAACACACTTGCGAATTCACACTGGAGAGAAGCCATTTTTGTTTGTTGGAGGTCCTTTGCACAAAAAATTTATATTCATTGACAAAGTCAACTCTGCAATCTTACCGAGTTTGTATATTTCTATGAAAATTGTTTAGCTCCAATGGTGGGTGCATATTGTTTGTAACTATCAATTTGTCAGAACATATCAAACATGAACAAATGGCATTTCGATTACTTCAAAATGCACGATCTTCCAATGAGAATTTCTTTCAATCCATGGACTGGACAATGGACATTCGACGGAAATGGGTGCAATAAATGATTTAGAGTGATTTTATGTAATTTCAGTTGTTTATCGTTGACAACATAGGCCACCAAATTTACTCAATTCACATTCATTTCAAGAAAATTGGTGCGATATTAGAAATGTAAGAAAATCCAATACAATAGATCATTCAATTAGAATTTACTTCCCAAAAAGAAATTGACACCAGTTTAGCGCTGGTTTGCTGCTCTCACACGACACTACACACAGTATGCTGTAGTGTGAGAGCGGCAAAGCGGCAGCATACTGTGTGTAATGTGGTGTCAGAGCAGCAAACCAGCGAAACTGGTGTCAATTTCTTTTTGGGTTCTTTAACACTTCATTTCAATATAATTCGATGTATTTTCTGTATCGGAATCTAAAAATATTTGTTTAGACATTTATTGATACTAATTTGTTTACATTTCAGTTTTAGATTTAAGTTGGATGGAACAAATATTGAAATTCGTAAAATATTTGAAAAAATTCGAAATAATAAACGGATTTTATTCGCCTAGTGGCAGGTACTGCGTAAAAGAACAAAACTCATCGCAATGCTGATAAAGAATTTTGAAACTTCTTTTCATCGGTTTATATTGCATATTTGTATGTTTGAATATTCATCGTCATTTGCCTTGTGTTTTTCGGTTTCCGCAATTTTCCGTAATGGAGCAAGAAACCTAGCAAGAAACGATTCTATGGGCTCTCATCGGTCATCAAAGGCATCAAAGTCGCATGAATATCAGAGCCTCTTAAGCCACCATCCAAAAAATTGCACCCCCTCTCATCACCTTCAGCAACGTTAGGGCATAGTTGTTTTTCTACGTCTCCTTTTACAGTTTCCAAAGAGATCTGGGAAAAATAAAAAAACCGTCATAAGTTTTCTGAATAAAGTAATTAAAATTACAAAAATCGTCATAATAAATACGAAAATTCGTTTTCAGACCTGGCCGGGTAACGTAACTTGCTGTGCAGTACAAATAATGGCAAAAGCACAGATAACACAAAAGCGATGCTTAAGACTTTCATTTTGATTGACTTTACTTCAAACTGAATGCTTAGAAGATCCTCAAACGAATGCATTTCTTCTCGACACTTATGACCATTTTATAATAAATCGATTAGGGCATTAACGATTACTATTTTTCGATGGAAAATCGCGGGCACGTTTTCGTGACAATCGCATTGTCACGATCCATGTTGAACGTGTACACGATCCTTCTTTTAAATTTTCTCTGTAATCATGAGTAAATTTAAGTGTCACCTAACACTGTGGTATTATTAACTTAGAAATGATGTATTGAAAAATCGTGAAACAAAATAATAAAATGTGGTGATACCACGTGAACAACGTCTATTGCGTTGAATACTTCATAGTATTCGCAACGAATAAGGCATAAGAGAGGCGATACGCCGATACATGCAGTGTATGTATGTATACAATGTACGCACTTTACGCCTTTCGTCGTTGCCAATACAACGAAATGTTCAACGCAATACACGTCGCGTGGTATTGCGTCGAACGATTCATTAATAAATGAGATTCTGAAAGTTTCATGTTGATTGCATTTGCAGAAGTTTGATTTTTGATCCAAAATTTTTGTCGAAATTTTCTTGGAAAAAATTGTGGGCCAAAATACAAACTTCTGCAAATGCAATCAACATGAAACCTTCAGAATCTTATTTTTTTCTCCAAAAAATGTAACCTCAGAAAGTTTGAAGCCAATCGGAATCGATTTACGAGTACCTACCATACAAAATTGTCGAAGTTTAGATTAAAGTGTTCGATTTTTCAAGAAAATTAAAAAAAAAACCAAAAGTACGGACAACGGTACGGAAAAGTTTGGGACTACTAATGTAATTCTTTTTTTTTATTATTACGTTTCATTTTCAAAGCAAATGGTTCATTATTTTTATTAATCAACGGCTTAATTCGGATTGATTTCTTAATATTTTGTTATTAGCATTCCATTGCATGCTCATACCGAGTCTTCAAATCTCACGGAAAATATTATACATTTTTCGATTTTCTTTCAATTGCATACAAAAACACACCCTTTAAACGCGACTTATTTTCAATCAGATGTTATTTTTATTCTATAGCATTCATTTAACGCTTTTGATAATAACTGTCATCTTCCATCCGTGTCTTGATTGAAAGTTACTGCCAAATTGCAGCTGACATGAGCTGTGTTCACACAGTCTGCGAATGATTCGAGCAAAGTGGAAAATGACCTATTGATTTTGGACTGTTTCAGAAGCGATTGAGCTCATTCAATGCATGACTCATACAGTATGAGTGTAATTTGGAAATCGTATCACTTTTCTCTTTTTTTTTCCATCAATACAAAAATTTCCTAATAAAATCAAGCCAAAATTAGAACACCTAATAAAATCAGATCATCTGTTTCAGATGACAAATTCAATGAAATCTTTCCAAAAAATCGAATCAAACAAAATAAGGATAAATGGTGAACGAATTCCAGATGTAAACAAACATTAAGTGGAGCTTGTAAAAAGTCTAAAAACAAAGCCCTTTGTTTGCTACCAGAGCCATCTATCGAACGCTTGACTCATCAAGTCATTAACAAAAGTGTTTCGCTTTGAAATGTCATTGTTTGAGGAAATTCTTTCGATGTGGGATATTTTGGTGTGTTTCGTGCACGATCACGCTGTCAATTGTCATTGCAGACATAATCAAGCAAAATCTGGGCACACAGATACAGTCGACGAGACACAATAAACACACTCCTATCGACATTAAAAATACCACATTTCCCTTACAAAAAAAGTGCATCAAACTGTGAAGTAAACCATAAATTGCACGAACATTCGCCGTAAGTTGTAAAGCAAAAAAAATGGATTTGTACGACGATTTGGATGCGAAGCAGCGAATCGATGGATGGTCACCGGGCCTCAAGTTGATGCAGACACAAATGGCATTGAAGAAAGCCATCGTACCACCGCCCGCAAAAAAAGAGCTACCGAAACGGACAGCTCCCGTAAGTTTGTTGAAGCTCGAATTGTTTTGATAGATTTAATCCAATATCCCGTTTGCAAAACACACAGCTTTTAGCACCGATCACAATATTAAAAACAAAAGGTCGACCAAACTCCGATTCAGACGATCATTTCAAATCGAACGAAAGTTCAAAGACGCATCACAAAAAGCAACCGACCACAATAACGACACAGGCATTGGCGCCACCGAACAAAGCGGCCAATGACTATGATTGGAATGTGATTGACGAATACAATCCACTGTGGCCGAATGAGTATGAGAAAATCATAAAAGAGCGCCGTGAACGCAGAGACAATGACCGAAAACGGAGGAATAATCGTAATGAGAATCGTGATGCGACATCGCCACAAAAATTCTCTGGCTTTGCTGGTAGATCGGAAGATTTGGATGATTACAAAAAATCACCGCCGGCACAACGAACCGCTGGAGCTACCATCGCTCCACCACCATCATTACAAGAAAGTACACCCATTATACCAGCATTACAGAATACAAATGCGGCCGGTTCGTATGGTTCAGGCTCAGTAGCGGCGAAAATTATGGCAAAATACGGTTTCAAAGATGGCCAAGGGTTGGGTAAACAAGAGCAAGGAATGTCAGTCGCGTTGCAGGTTGAGAAAACATCGAAACGTGGCGGCAGGATTATACACGAGAACGAATTTATGCTACCACCAAAATCATCGACTCCTCCACTTGCATCGATGCCACCGCCAACAGCACCCGTTCAGCAAAAAGACGAGCCCTCGATTACCGAGATTATGAAAGCACCCAGCAAAGTCGTTTTGTTGCGAGTAAGTTCGGAGTTTTGAATTAATGCCCAAAATTCGGTTTATTCTTTTTTTAAAGAATTCCACTCGAATTTTGATATTTACACAAAATTGTTCCTTCTTTTATTCCAGAACATGGTCGGAGCCGGTGATGTGGATAATGAGCTCGAGGGCGAAGTAAAAGATGAATGCAACACAAAATACGGTGATGTGGTATCAGTCATAATATTTGAATTGAAGAATGCTGCACCCGAGGAGGCGGTCCGGATATTTGTTGAATTCAAGCGTATTGAGAGTGCGATAAAAGCGGTGGTCGATCTAAATGGCCGATTCTTCGGTGGACGTCAAGTGAAAGCTGGTTTTTACCCATTCGAAAAGTTTCAAAAACATTATTTGACTGATTAATTAATCACACCTGTACTGTAATCAACCTATTCAATTGCTCCTCATTACACTTTTTTTTAAATCTTTTTTCATCTATATTTACTTTGAATGTTTTGAAAGTAGACGTATGCGACAAAAAAAAACACGAATAAATCGATGAAAAATTAAATAGTTTGTGTGTTTTTGATTCAATTAGAAAAGTCCGTCTGATTGTGGATAGCAAACAGTTTGACATTTAAACCACAAAAACCATTTTTCAGCACTAGTCATTACATTGTAAACACAGTATGTAAACGGCATAGAGTAACGCATAAACCAGCTGTTGATGACATTAAAACTTTTCAAACTAATTAACACAATGGGTGATTAAAAAACGGCATATTTTTCAACTATCCCAAATGCACAATGTATTTATCGAGAGAGAGAGAAAAAGAGACGGTGGTTTCATTGGTTTGTTGAAACTTTGATTTTTCCCATGGAATCGATAACTTTGACATGTAATTACATTAGTTGCGTTGCCATGGGAAAATGTAACTTTTTTTTCGTTGACGTGCTACGTGTAAGCCAAATGGCTGCTATAACACAGAGATTGCATATTAACTGCTGAGTAGGCCTGAGCTGAGCTGAATTTGCTAACTCAGGTGCCTGAAGCGTTATTTTAACGCATTCACAGTACAAAATTCATATTCCCATCCAGATTTGCCAACTCAAATTTGAGGCTGATATGGAAAGGAATATGAATTTTGTACTGTAAATGCGTTAAAATAACGTTTCAGGCGCCTGAGTTAGCAAATTCAGCTCAGCTCAGGCCTACTCAGCAGCAAATATACAATCTCTGCTATAACAACAACAGCGACAGCACCAACGATACGAGTGAGAGAAGAAAAAAAAACGCTCGACCATAATAATGAATGAAATGTGAATGCATATGACAAAAATGAATAAAACGTGATCTCATTGCGTGGCCATTGTTTGTACATTTATAGATTTTCAATGGAGATAATTCAATCAACAAATGTAAAATGCTAACGCATCCCAAACGGGTGACGACAACAACGACGACAGCAGCGGTGCAATAATAACAGAAACAAATAGGGACTGGGTAGGAAAAATGTTGTTACTATAGAGAAAAACCCTTCAAAGTATGTGTTGACTGTCATAATGGAATAAGATTGAGCCGCAGGTTCATTGTTTGCTATCATAAAGAATTTAATATAAATTTTAGAAGCTAAATATCATCATCTTTGTTGTTGTTTTTTTTACTTTGCTTTGCTTCCGCAATATGTTTCTCAGGAACGTTTACATTGGTATCGTTGTAGTTGTTGATTTTGTCGTTCACAATGAAAACCAAAGTTAACTCACAAAATTCAAAGGAATGAAATTATTGTTTGCACGAGACTCCCTAATGATTGCAAAGCCTGTAATGCGTTCATACCAGCAAGTGGCACATGTTTTGACATTATTAGATTTATCAACCTTTTATTAGCCGTCGTAATACGTTCTCAATGCGGCTTTTGTCACAGCGTATGCCATTGTTCGCTGTGCCGTCTGGATTCATTGCATTGCACTTCGGTTGCGATGGAATTAACTTCGTTTGTTCCATATTTAAGGTCGACAGACGCCAACACTGAATGACAATTTTCGGTGATCAAAATTAGATTTGTCCGCAAAATGGTTCTATTTTAGATTGTCGACCAATTATTAGCAGCACCGGTCTCTCGGACGAGGGACGAGTGGAAATGAAACAACATCAACATCAACTCTAAACCCGGAAATTTATTTCAATTATTATTGACGTGAATTTATCTTACAGCATTTTATTTTATAAATAATTCTAATCAATATCTAACGATTTCAGAACAAACACGAGGAGGTTTTTTTTAAACGTGAGAAAAAAAAATTTGAGCAAATTTTATTTTAAAACAGCATGATTCTGATGTCCTGCTGTTTATTGGATTAGAAACTGCAGGTGGATTTTTTTTATATGTTAAATACCATATTTTTTTGAAACTAGATTTTTTCACTGGAAAAAAATAGCAATTCTTCGTTTGAAGTTGATATTTTTCACATATTTTTCTATTTAATGTGGTATTAAATTAAAGCAATAAAAGTGAAACCAATAAAATACTCGGTTGGAAAAACAAGTGTTGGGATTTCACGTTTTTGTTCTGATTGTTTCGCCATTCGTTGAAGATTCTACATAAAAGTTTTTTTTACTATAGAGATGAGACCATATTAAATTATTATTGTTAAATGCTAATAATATTGTTTTTTTTTCGACAAAGTAGCCTAATCTTAATCGAATGTTCGCATTTGGAGAAAAACTTTGGAATTAATTAACCCAATTTAATTACAATAGTAATACCCTGTTTTGTATGTATATATTTTTTTATAATAAACTCCTTTGTTTATTGTATTATGAAATATAACCCTTTGATTCGCCGACTATATCTACATCGCTTTCGTCTTCAGTATCGCTGTCGCTTGACTTCATAAGATCATCGGATGAGATGCTGCGCAACATTTGAATGGATGACTGTGCTTTTAACGATTTTACACCCATCGATGAGTAAAGCGAGAATGCACGCTCCGATTCATCGGCTGGACCACGTTTGCCATTGTCTGATGCATTCGGTGTACTTTTGCCGGCCTCATTGCGGGAGAAATCAACTGGTTCCGCTTTAAATACACATTTACATGAACAATATTCAATTAGTTAAATTTTGACTCTTTGCATATTTACGTAAGAGTTTACGATTTTCTTGCAAAAGTTTACGATGCAAAACTTATACATTACAACCAAACTTGTGTCTTTTGGCTAATTTGATTTGAGAACAAAAGATGTAGATTTTAAGAATGGGCTATTAAACGAACGGAAGAGGAAATGCCAAGAAATTCGTCGTTGTCACTTACGATAATGGAAATGGAAAATGACTTTGTGCAAATGATAACATTTTCTTTGAAGAAAAACTTTTTTATTTTGGGCTTTCAACGACTTTGATGTATAGATAAAATATTGGGAAATAGAGAATAAAATTCATAACTATTCAAACACCAATTTAATTAGTGGTTCTATTTTTTAAAAAAAGTTTTATTATTTACTTTAGCTGCTTTACTTTTTTAAAAAATATAAGTAAACTTAAAATAAAATTAAAATTCAATTTCGGAAAAAATATCAGATAAGATTGAATTACCTGAACTTATATCACGCCTTCTCAATTGCTTTTTGTGCTTCATTCGTCGATCTAAAATATCCAACGCGAAAAAAAACCGCTGGTAAGTAAGAGAATTACATGAACACATTGAGAGCTACCTACTTTGGAACCAAGTTTTTACTTGGGTTTCACTCAATCCAAGGGCTGCCGCTAATTCAACACGTTCTGGCGTAGACAAATATCTTTTTGGAAATGAAAAAATAAAAATCGAAAAAAAGCTAAGTTAGAAAACTTTTATATTTACGTTCATTCTAGACGTATTAAAAAAATTCCCCATAAAATAAAAATAGCTCTCGCACAAATTAACACACATTCAAACAATTCAAACAACAGCAAAAGATAGTGTTGGTTGTTTCTCAAAATTTTACCTTTGATTTTCAAACCGCTTCTCCAGTCCAGTCAATTGTGGATCGCTAAACACAGTTCGAGCCTTCCTTCGACGGCAATGTCGTAAAGCATTCACATTCATTCCAAGTCCAAGAGCAATATCGGCCGAACAACCACCGCCGGGGAAGAAGTTAGCTCCACTGAAAAGACCCGCTGTTGAATAAGAAACCAAACGATTTTTCTTTTTCAATTTAACTCTTTTTATTTATCTCGATTATGCTTTCTAAACTTTAGATTTAGTTCTAAAAATATTCTATTCCAAATTTTCCACTGTAATTGGAGCTTAAATTCAAAATACTCATGATAATGTTTTTGATTTTAGTTCTATTGGATCACAATTCATAAAATCTGATAGCCTCAAAAAAATAACAAAAAAAGATAAAAAAAGATGAAGAAAGAAAGTTCGAGGTATGAAAAAACAACAATACTTAGAATGAAAGATGTAAAAAAATGTGTAAAATATGAACCTTGTGATAGAAAGTATGGATCAACACTTTTGTAAACAGAGGACGATGGTGTTAGATAAGCGCCCAAAGCCATTTGTAAATATCCGGGATCCGAATATGGGCCGGAATAGATAACATTTGGGTTAGTCGTGGCTGGAAATTGTTGTGAAGTTGCTTGCGGTGGAATACGTTCTTTGTATCTGCTTGGATAATTGAAAAGAAGCCAAAAAATTATTATTCACAGTGAAGTCACACTTTGGTTTTGTTCGAAATTTAATCTTTTTGAATCTTGAGAATCATGATAAAATGAGTCGTTTTTTTTTCTTCAGAATTGTCTTCCTTTAAAATTGTGTGATGCCGACGGTGGTTAACTTATTATTCAAAATAAACAAAAATCATTAAACAAAAGTCCATCATACCGATCACTTTGCAATAATTTGCGATATTCTTCGTCGTTCGGTTGAATTTCATTGTTATTTCTCGAAATTTTCTCTTGATTGCTCGTCGGATGTTCAGCGGTGTTGTTATTGCGTACACTCTGATTGCCAATATTTTCGGCATGATTTTTGAAACTGATTTTATTGGCCGCTTTCATGGAACTGCGATCCAGGATATCTTCGATTAAAAACGGTGTCTTGATAGCTGCCGCACTGGCGTTTGATTTATTCTCGGTAAAATGCAGAGCCATTTTTTCAATCGTATGCACAATCACAATCCCGGACAATATCTCGAGTTAGTAATTTTTTCGTCTTTCGTAGAAAACTTTATGATCAGAGCAATTGAATCACAACAATTAAGCACTTATTTCGTATAAAATCATAAACTTGTAATAGCGTTGGTTGTGTAATAGCCCGTTAGTTAAGCACAAACTTTGTGAAACAATCAGTTTTGTGTGCGAAATTTTTCGGTGGCAAATGGCTATTTTATGGAAAATCGACCATTCTTAATGACTTTACATCGATTTATGGCATGTAATTCAAACATCATCGGTTTAGAAACCATAAATGATGTGATTTACAACAACTTGCACTTAATATGTACACCACCAGCAGCAACAGAGGAACAGAGCGTCCGGCGAATGAGCGATGACAAAAAGGGGTGTGCGGAAGCTATTCGCCCTCTCTATCTCATATCTCGCATGCTGTATGCAATAAATAGAACACACCCTCTGTAGATGATCACCATATACGCCGCTCTGGTGCGTGGTATAATATGTATTCGAGGAATGGAAGAAAGAAAAAAGAAGAGAGAAAGCGATTTCGCATTATGTATTTTATAAATATACATTGGGTAAATTGGCCGTTGAATGCGTTGTCGGTTGGGTTCGGTTCGTTTATCCATCCACTGTAAAATTGTCACGTAATGCAATTTCGAAGTTTTCCACTTCAGGCCCGAGTTTGGGTAAGCTTATTATCAGCAAAATATCAGACTTAATTCATGCTTATGGAATCTATTTATTACGGGAGTAGTACAGCTCATTGCCTCTCGCTCTCTCGGTCTCTCGGTCTCTGTGTGTATGGCACAAATTGTCGCTATTATATCTTTCACCATTCCAATTTGATGGCGTGGAATGTGAGCTTTGAGTAGAGAAGAATGTCGAGCACAGTTGTTGGTACAGAGCACACAGTGCCGTTGGCTGTTGTCAAGATGACCGCCATCGTTGAATTTCTGTCCATAATTAATTAAAATCCTCCGCCAAAGCGAAGCCTGTCATTTCGAAACGATGAGATGCCAGCCGCTTGTTCGCTCAATATTATTAGCGAATTGGATCACCTTTTCATCGCAGCAAAATCAAATTGAATGCGCCTCGCTCATCAAATGAACCACAAAGCAGTGAATATTGGCTTTTATCGAAAGCACAAAAAAACACACTCACATAGAGAGAGCCTGTATAATTGAGCTGAGTTGCAATATTCAACTTTTTGTGGTGCGGTATTGATAGCGCGCTGTGCAAAGCATCCGCACCCGAATCATAATTAAAACCAAAATGAATGTTAATTAATTGTTTCGCTTGACATTGTTGTCGTTGACATAATTAGCAGATAATAGCATTGTTAATTGCTATATTAAAATTAAATTAATGCCATTCGATACACATCGTTTCAATGTTGATCATCAAATATTAACCGCTGACACAGTGCTTTGTTTTGATTCGCTTTTGTAGCTCGGCGCAAGAGAGCGGAAGAGAAGAGAGCAAGTGTATTTCAATTTGGAAACATTTTGCGCGTTGAACATTGGCTGCCATTGCCGTTGATTGTAAGTACATAACAGCGTGTGGTTTGATGATTGCTTCAATTTTGCCCATCATACGACTGTTTCCGTTTCGTTCAATCCATCGTTATTTTGTTCTTATCAACGTTTAAACGGCATCGTCGCAACACAAATATACACACAATTACCCCTCATTAGAGTGCTGTTGAGCGTGTATGTACGACAGCGAATGCCGCGTACTATGTATGTATATATAGGGTTGCGAAAACGCCAGCGCTGATTGGCTGGAATGGATGTCGCATGAGGCGTGATCAACTGTTTATTTACATCAGCCATAGCGGGAGGATTGGCTTTTACATTCTCTGCATCATTTGTGCTACAAAATTGAGATTATTCGATTCATATTTCAATGGCAGAGGCTTTAACAACGACAAAACATCCGTCGTTTACTCTCGTTTTGTTCAACTTTGTTGTTGCTTTGCCATCTCGAGAGAGATGTAGAGCGAAAGGAGAATGGGAGCGTAATTCACATTGGGGACACTTTCCCATTCAAAAGAGATCAGCATTCAAGAATTTTCACTATCCGTTCATTAGAGTATTTTATGTGTCCTTTGCAAACTATTTCCTTCGTCGTCTTCGTCTTTGTTGTTGTTGCTGTTGTTATTCGTTTTTATCCCAACCTTACTAATGAACCGAACCGAACATTAGAAGAGCACGTATTATACTTGAAATTCCGTGACACGCGATTTTCAATCATTCATTCTCTTTCTGTCGCTCTTTCGCTCTCGCTCTAGCTTTCTCTCTCTCTCACTCTCGTTCTCTCTTCTTGGTTCGTTATTTTCTTGCCTTGTTAAAGAGAAAAATAAAATAGAAGCGGCCCATTGAAGCGCCTCTTCCATTTACATTATTCTGCACGTTTCAAAGGCAACGCTCCTTTAACATAATGCCATTTAAACGATTTTTCCATTGGCTCATTAGAATCGAAACAAAACGTAACGCTTTTTTCATCTCTCGTCGTTGCTCGACTTTGCCTCAGAAAGCGCTGCAAAGGAAGAAGAAGAAGACAAGTGATTGTTGGCAAAGTGCTCTCAACTTTTAACATGACCTAAATTGTTAGGGTTTATCGCATTTAAAAAAAAAATTCTTGCCGCTTGCGATTTTCCATCATCGTTTTCTTTTGTTTCGGTCTGCCACTTGGGTTCATGGTTGTTTGTCAAATGATTTCAATGTCTCTTTCTCTTTTGTTTAAACTGTCATCAGTTCGTTTTTTTTTTTCTTCTTGTTGCCTTTCTCTCTGTTAAGTGTTTCCTAATTCGCACTTGCAGCAAACCTTCGTGATGCAAAGTGATGCTTTTTGTGTCATCTATTATGCAGTTGTTTTTCGCTTTTATTTTCAACACAGCTCTCGGGGATCATCATTCGAGATTCGAAACAAAATCTCCTCTTAATGAGATGAACTTCCTTTGACGCATGTGTGCACAATAATTTTGTGTATATGACAAGGTTCGAGCCAAAGATCAAATACCATTAAATAATTACCACAAGCAATTATTTTCATTAAATTTTGAATTTTATACGGACGCACACATTCGGTGTCGAATTTCATATTCCAAGAAAAAACCATATTCATAAATGTAAAGAGAATAGACGGATTTTGTGGAGAAAACCGAAATAATCGGGTGCACGTGTCACGTTTAACTAGTTTTGTTGGAAATTCGAAACGATTTTGATTCAATTTCAGAGATGATATTGATTTGTGCTCGCCGCCAGATGAATAGTGCATCCATGACCAGGATGTACTACTACACACAAGCTATACACCGAGCAAAAATGAAACAAAACACCGATAAATCTCAATAGCATCGCAACGACAAACGACGACAACAATCGAGTAATAACTAATTTCATTTTAGCGTCACTTTAGCTGATTTCAACATTAAAGATGTAAGCGGCCTTTTGTCGGAACAGATTGCCTTCCATCAATTACCATTGGGTTTTTCGCTTTTATCAACCGTTTCCGCCGCACATAATTTTAAAACACCGCGCGCACCTTTCCATTCGTAGTTGTGCGGACACATGAATTTTCATATTGATAAACATCAAAGTGACGGCACACACAACCAAATGTGATCACTTACCTTTTTTTCCATCCATATTGTTCTCTTGGTTTCTGCATGAAACAAGGGGAAAATGAAATGAAAATAAAAAGTCTATTGCGCGCATAATTCAATTGAAATGGTTACTTTAATCTTTGAAATAACCTTTTTCATCCTGGCAATTACCGTCGTACGGCAATTTTACAGGCCAAAGGGAACAAAGTATCCATTTCATATAGTTTAAGGAATTCTCTTTCACATACGTACATATGTTGCCAAAAGATTTTTTCTGCTGATTATTTCGAATAACGGAATTTAATTTTTGATAATCAACAATTTTGCTCATGTTTCCATTCAATTCTGTGCTATACAGCGAAAACAATCCGAATGATAATCAGCACTGGAGTATGTGTGGATTTTTTTTTTCGGATACACACTTGATAAGTCGATTCAAATGGTAATTCGGTTGTGATGGAGGCGGAGAAGCGTTGACAATAAAATCGTATTAATAAATGGTTTGGCGTTAAAAGTCATATGCGATGGAAAAATGAGACCGAGCCTCATTGTCGCTCGCGCCGCGCGCACATGACATGCATCGCCCTTACATTTTGTGTACAAAACAAATTTCACCCCTCATTAAGTCTATTGATTCAGTATTTTTGGGTTGTAATACGGTACGTGAGTGAGAGGCAGAGAGAGTGAGGCAGAGTAGCGCGAAAAATGGAAATAAAAATTGTGAATACTTTCGATCTCTCACACTCTTTCGCTCTTCGTGCTGCGTCAAACGGTAGCCAATACAAATAACAATGGCCAGAGGAATCGAACGAAGGAAGTAAATTCATTGCACGTCAAATAGCTCACTTCAACAGCAATTTCGATGTGTAGGGAGAGAGAGAAAGAGGATGGGGAGTTTTAACAACAGCATAAAACCAATTACCTTGCATGCGCTGTGATTTTTATCTATTTAATATAATAATTTAATTTATGAGACTGCCTTTGATGCGAAATCAGTGGATGCTTTATCCGGTTTGATTGCTGTAATTGAAACATGTGTAACGTTTTTGTGCATGCCACTTTTTCTCTTTCCGCCGAACGACACACACACGCGAATTAAATGCAAAGAATTTGAATTTTCATTCTCATAAAATTCATCATCAGAAGACGTGTTCAACTGCAGTTTTCGGATCGAACTAGTCAACCTAATAAACTGTCGGCGGTAATTTGATTCCATTTTTCTGTGCAAGAAAATCGATATGTAAACGCCGCCAACTAATTGCTGCATGCCAGCGGCTTTCTTCTCACTAATGACGATAAATCAGCGCTTAATGTCAATTATTTTGCGTGTAATCCGTTTAGTGTCGAGTGGCTTGCAGATATTCCAACATCGCCACATCATAGCAGTAACGGTTAAATACTTGTTCGCATCGAACGAACTATGGTTGATTTTTCTGAAGAAAACAATGTTCTCGACGAATCGCAAAGTTTTTTTTGTTTTGAATGTTTTTTTTTAAAGAATGTCGCTGAGTTTCATCAGAATTCTCTTCTCGAACAATTCCCATGTGTTTCATCGTTCAACGCACAATATCCCACGCACTTCAAGTGCACACGCCTCGACTGCCATACGCAAAGCTAGAGCCCGTATTCGGTGCACACTGTTCGAAAGACAGGCACTTAATCACCACTTTTAATCGTCTATTTTTACTTCTACTAATTGTGTCCACGTGACTTATCTGACACATCTTTTCAACGCATTTTATTTACAGTAAACGGAGAGAATTCTGTGTACAAAACAAGCAAAATAATCGGATCGAAAAATTACATCGTAAATGGCACAACAATGGATCATTTGGCAGTAAAATGCAAGATGTTACTGGCGAAATGAGCCGATGAAACCTATTGATGGTGCATAATATTTGTTATATGACACGGCAGACGGATTAGCATGAGGGCGGTTAAACACATGTAAACAGAAGAATTTAACACAGAAATAGTGTGCAATTAGATGTGATTGACGCAATTCAACGACGGATTGCGACGAGGTTGCTGTAGTGTTTTTGTGTGAAAATTTTTGTAGAAGAATGAATTCTGTTCTATATAATTTATGCTCGAAAGAATAGTAGTTGAATATGAAAGTCCTTCAAGTGTAGGTAGAACGACTATTCAATATCTCTTCTTCGTTTCTAATTCGATAGAAAATTCCATTTCGAACAGCAAAAATATTTTAGCCTGGAAGTGATGGTGGTTTTCGTTTGAAATATGTCCTATGTTATTTCATACACTGACGAATCGAGTTGAACTCCTAAAAATGAAAAAAATAATAAAATTCCTTCTACTTGGTTGCGGAAAATAATTTTACCAATTTCCATTTCATTTATCAACATAAATGAAAATGAAAGTTGAATTTTTTTTATTGGTTTTGATAAATGCCGGTCCGTTATATAAATCAAGTGTGCAATGTCAATGTTTCGGTTTATATTGTTCGTTTCGATGTCATTGCCACTCATGTGATTCCTATTTGTAGTTATCTTTTTTGTAAAATGTGTAAAATAAAATATAGATCCATTTCATACATGCGTCAATTACATGTGATTTTACAAAGTATTGATTTTCATAATATGAACTATTCGAACAAAAAAAATCCGCACGTTCAATCGGATTTACTTTGCTCGATGCAAATACGAAATGAAATTCCATCTCTCTTTTCATATGTGATGAATTTGTGCTATATGCTCTACCTACCTACCTACACGTACCTATGGTTTCAACAGTGCAAAATGAACCATGGCTTTGATTGAGTCAAAATACGTTGCCATTGAGCAAGTGGAATATTATGTTGGCCAAAAAATCGTACTAGTCTGTTGAAGGTGCCTTTGTGACTTTTGTCGAATTTTCAGAATGAGAATGTGAAGACATGAAAATAGAGATATTCGATAATGAATCAGACGTTTTCAAAAGTTGAGAATGAATCAAATTTTCATTTTCTATTTACATCGATGATTTAGTATATTGAACAATTAGTGGCGAAATTTCCTTTTCTTAAAAGCATGCTGCAAGCAGTGTACTGTGAATTTACAATAAGTATACTGCTTTGAAGGAAATTAACTTTGAAGTTATTGAAAATAGCAAAGTAGTGAACCTTAAAATCAATAGTAATTTTATCTTCGAAATTTTTATACATATATATCAGCAATACATTACCTTTTCATCAATCGGATGTGAATTGCATAGAAACTTGAATTTCCCTGTTCAATTACCTCCTCTAATTACTAATTTCCATCTAATCAAGATTACCAAACACACTTTTGTTGAAAAAAAAACTACATGAAATTTCAACATGAACTTGCTTCGCTTTATCTGTTTCTATCTTGTGTCTTTTGTTTTACAAAATATCAGTTTGAATCATCACAGCTGGCAGCAGCTGTACTTGTACGCAGACTGTTGATGTTATTTCTTTCTGGACTGCTGACTGCTTAGTCGAGATACCAATAATTCCATACATTCATTTTGAACGATTCCTTCCGTTTAATTTGGACTAAACTTCGACTCGTGCGATTCTTCTCCTTCGTTTCCAGAAATACTCCTTCAGGCACATAAATCGTCACTTTGTATGCTCCGTCCAATTTCGCACGTTTCTTGTTCAATGTCGATAGATCGAGAATGTCATCGTTTGGTGGTGAGAAGTTTGAGTGCCCCATAATGATGCTCGATAAATGCTTTGAGCATCGAACGAAAGGCATAATCGCTCCAATGGATTTGTCGCGTAAACGAAGCCGTTGCAGATTTGGTAGTTTAGATGGCAGTGTGGTTAAATCTAACTGATACAAATCAAATATATACATTTTCTTCACGTGCATGACTGGCCAAACGACACCTTCGTCTACTTCACTGATTCCAAGAGTTTCGAGTGCCCGCAATGAAGCCATTCGATCAATCCATTGTTGATTCAAAGGAGCGAAATACGTAAAATGAAAGTGCAACCGCTTGTAGAAGCCACAATCGTGAAGCTTGTTCAAAATAGCGCAGATTGATGTATCTTTCTCGTTGCACCACATATTAATGATCAAATTATCCAATTTTACGTTGGAACTTAACAACTGGTCTTTGTTAGCTGAAAGGAATTGCGTAGAAACTTTAATCGTACGAATATTCGGGATTTGGTTGAAAAATGCCTCCACATTCACCACCCATCCATCAATTTTATCCAAATTGATGTGTTCGAGCTTTGGACACTTGTTAAGTTTGAACAGCCAATCAGTGTTTCTCCAATTGACTGTGAGCTGCGTCAAATTTGGACACAAGTCAAAAAAATTTTCGTCAGGACAATTGCCGTAAATTAATAAGCTCTCGACCTTAGCAGGGACATCACCAATCAGAAGAATAATGTTTGAAATGGACAATGAAGATGACCAAAATGTAATTTTCTTCAATGATTTAAAGTTTGTTTCAATGTATTCCAATTCGCTATTTTCAAAAGCCGAAGAGATGGTGACATTTTCAACATATTCACTGAAACCATGTAGTCGAGTGGAATTGTGATGAATGCCATTAGGTCTGTTTGTGATTTCGGCCATTGGATAATTCTGACGGAAATACATGCCAGCGATTCGATTCATGCGTTTGCACGTTTGACCGAACGAGTACAGATCTTTGATAGACAACCACTCGAATATTTCTTCGCAGCAGTCAACATCGAGCTTGAAAATTCCGGACCGATTTTCTTGGGCCACTGGAGCTGCAACAGGCAGTTGATCATCGTTTTGTTTGGCATCATCATCTGGCGTTTGGTTCGTGGCTTCAGTTATGGCTTTGTTTGGTGATTCGGAACTCATTGTGGATATGGATAATCAATGGTTCAATTAAACGTGACGTTTGTTCTGTAAGCAGGGAAATAAGAAAATTAACACATTTTTGCATGAAATTCTATTCAATTTTACTTCGCATTCTCGTTTCTGACATAAATGTATAGAAAAGAATCGAATTTTTCAAAATGGCGATGAGAAAATCGTTGCTTGTTGGCAATCAATTTATTTTTAAAAACTATGTTTAATGCTTTGAAAAATTCATTTGATCGTTCACTATAATATAGAGACTAAATAACACCATTTCATCACATCTCATTGAATTATTGATATGTTTGAAAAAAGAAGAAGCCATATTTACCATCAAAACAAAAGCGGTGTCAACGAAAGTTTTCACTCAAAATAACTATTTCAAAACGAACGATTCGTTCAATACTTCAACTTTTTGTATTTTCCTCCAAGTAAATTGAAATTGTTGTCTTCACTAAATCAAAGCACTTGTCAATGTTCCCCTTTAACTACGCTTTCCAACTGTCATTCGACCGCATGAAGTAAATGGATTGACAATATGAATATGAAATGAGCAACAAAACAGTAATCGAAACTGGTGTTAGAATGAAAAGTCATAAGAATGCGATTACAAAGAGCGGGATATGTGTTAGTAAAATTGCAATCATTAAATGTAATTTATTGGCAAATTTGACAGATCGTTTAGAATGCAAAAACAGACAATATACAAATGGAAATAATCGTTAAGTTTCACCGCACAATCTGTTGTACCATATCAAAATATTGCTTTATATAAACTTGATCCCAATTTCATTTTTATGAAGAAAAAAACATCCATTTCAATCTAATAGAAAAAAAAAGGTTTTCTTTCAATATTTAAGATTGCTTCAAATCATATATCAAATTTAAAGTTCTAAATCACTACCCGCAGTCACGTCGTGCAAACACGACCAAATCACGAATGAATCGTCACTGTCATGGGATATTCTGCGGCAATTCTGATTGAATCGGACAACACTCAACAACATCAACATATTGTACTGTCATCTCCGAAATTGTTTTGTGTTATAGTTTTGAGTGTCGGAGGTGATTTGCAAGTTTGCTGTATGAGGAGTCGTGTAAAGGAAATTTCATAGAAATTATCAATATTTTCATTTGTTCAAAACTGAAATTCCAGCAAAATGACGGTTGCTGCGAAGGTAAGTGAAAAATTACGAAAATTCAGTGAAAGCCTAAATAAAATTTGCATCGTCATAGGCGATACTTTGACATAACCTCATTTGGCCGCAAATATTGAAATGGTTTCAGAAAATAAATTCATTTTTTTTTTCGCTCAATTAAATGTAGATGGAAGTTGATTCATACCGAGGCGAAGGCTTTCGGCAGTATTATATCACGAAAATCGAAGAATTGCAGCTGGTCGTAGCTGAGAAAAGTCAAAATCTGCGCCGTTTGCAAGCTCAGCGAAATGAACTTAATGCCAAAGGTGAGTGTTTGCTCATCAGATGATTCAATCTCATTGCTAATGAGCATCGTTTGTTTGATTTTTTTCTGTTGCAGTTCGCATGCTACGCGAGGAATTACAATTGCTGCAAGAACAAGGCAGCTATGTTGGCGAAGTGGTGAAACCAATGGACAAAAAGAAGGTGTTGGTTAAAGTGCATCCGGAGGGTAAATTCGTTGTCGACATCGACAAAAACATTGATATCAACGATGTCACGCCAAATTGTCGTGTTGCTTTGCGCAATGAAAGCTACACTCTGCACAAAATCCTACCGAACAAAGTCGATCCGTTGGTATCGCTGATGATGGTCGAAAAAGTGCCCGATTCAACGTACGAAATGGTCGGCGGTTTGGATAAACAAATCAAAGAAATCAAAGAGGTCATCGAATTGCCCGTCAAACATCCCGAACTGTTCGATGCACTTGGTATCGCTCAACCAAAAGGAGTTTTACTTTATGGTCCACCAGGTTTGTGCTTATTTATTAAATTTCTTCGATTTTTTTAAATTCAATTTCGAGATTTTTTCCTACATTTTCATGCATTTTAGGACTTTTTGCTCTTTTTTCTTCTATTTTATGAGCCATTCATAAAAAATCTTGCTCGAATTTAAACGTTTACCTCCAATTCACTCTAAAAATAGGTACCGGAAAGACATTGCTTGCTCGTGCTGTGGCTCATCACACCGAATGTACGTTCATCCGTGTGTCGGGTTCGGAATTGGTGCAAAAATTCATTGGTGAAGGATCGCGTATGGTGCGTGAACTGTTCGTAATGGCCCGTGAGCATGCACCGTCCATCATTTTTATGGACGAAATCGATTCCATCGGTTCATCGCGTATCGAATCCGGTAGCGGCGGTGATTCAGAAGTGCAGCGTACCATGTTGGAATTGTTGAATCAATTGGACGGTTTCGAAGCAACTAAAAATATCAAAGTCATTATGGCCACCAATCGTATTGACATTTTGGATCCAGCTTTGCTACGTCCAGGTCGTATCGATCGTAAAATTGAATTCCCGCCACCAAACGAGGAGGCTCGTCTCGATATTTTGAAAATTCATTCGCGTAAAATGAACTTGACGCGTGGCATTAATCTCAAGAAAATCGCCGAATTGATGCCAGGCGCTTCGGGAGCCGAAGTTAAAGGTGTTTGCACTGAAGCCGGTATGTATGCGTTACGTGAACGCCGTGTCCATGTCACACAAGAAGATTTTGAAATGGCCGTAGCCAAAGTTATGCAAAAGGATTCCGAGAAGAATATGTCCATCAAGAAACTGTGGAAGTAAGTCTCAACACCCCAGTCTGCATTCATTTACACTTCTGCTCTTTGAAGGAGTCTTTGCTTTATACATAATATTATTGAACAGAATGAAAACAAAATAAAACCATTTTACATATAAAAAGAGACGCGATTGTATGTTTTATATTGAATTTTTGTTCTATTTTCCCAAAAATTTTAAAACTCAATCAATTAGTATTTTTAGTGTGGCTTGAAATCTTCTTTTGACATTTTTGAAGAAAATAAAATTGAATCTAATAATGTCAAATGGAGCCGATTCTGTTTCAATAGCAAATGGAAATCTCTATGGTGTTGTCTTTGGATATTGTTCTCTTTCGTTAGCTTTGAGCAACGCCATCTATGGAAAATAACTCGAAGTCAATCCAAACAGCTCTCAAAGTTTATGCTCCTTATTTTGTTTATGATGTGACTTTCACACATCTCATATGAAGTTGATGTGTCTTTGTTTTTATACCTACTTTTACCTTTTTTATTCATTTACCTGTCACACAGCTAAATCAATTATATCGCCAGTATTCCGCTTACGATGCAGAGGAAATGAGTGCTTTCAATAGTTTCCCATAACGGTGAATTACAATTTTAATTCAATAAATTGATTGCATTTGCAGCGACGCATACGAATAAGGAAATTTTCTTAAATGAGAGGGTTGATTGCGTGTGTCATTCTGCATAAAATATTAATTCTCGTCATTTCGTTTGGAAAATGTATCACAACGACCGGAGTAGAAAAATAGATGGTCGTAACAGAAAAAAGTGTCATGCAATGTGTTTTCTATCAATTTCACTATCAGCACGTTCGCAGCTCAAACGATGTATACAGCGAAACACGAGTGCATCGAAAACTATGTGAACGACAGACGAGAGGGAAGCGAACGGCAGTGAATGTTGATGTATTTAAATAAGATCTGCATCACGACGTGTGTATCTAGTTTGGCATAGCAATTTTCAATTTGACTCGTCGTACATTAGACATCGTTTATATTTTCGTTTTTCTTCTTTATCATCGTCGTGTGTACTAAATGCATATTTTATGTTCTTGTTTACGAAACGCGCGTTGCACAGAATGGAGGGGTTGATCGATAAGAAGATAACGCATCCACTTTCGCTAGCTATGGCTCGGCTTCGCCGAATGTGTGTGTGTGTGTGTATTTTAAATGCGGTTAAACTTTTAACAATTCAACACATGTATACAGAGCCGGAGTTGCTGGTGCTGACTGCTGAGAGAGAGAGAGAGAGAGAGAGTCGCATATGCACAACGGCGAAAGGGAAACGACGAAGTCGACACATAAATTATGAATAATACCAACGTTTTTTTTTATCTGTTATTGTATGTTTGCATTGCTATTAGAAGTTAAACTGCACAGACGATTTCATGCTTTGTACAAATATTTACATTTGCCGAAGAGCCAAAAGCCAGTTTTATCGACTCACTTGCATATGTTGCTCATCAATACAAATAGTCTACAAATCGACAAAATGATACCATTTTTCCCATTTAACGATTCATATTTCTTCCGACTGACTTCGCATCTTTTGAATCGACATCAAGGGCAGAAAACACACACACATACACACCACTTGAGATAATAAAGTGTGAGTGTGTTCGAAAAGGCGACATTCAAGTGGTTAAATGGTGATTTTACGTTTAAAAATTGTGATGAATCGGTTTTTCTCTGGCTCAAAAGTAGATGGAAAGGTGCACTGACGTTGCGCTGCTTTATATCATTGTGTATATGTCAATTCATTGATGTCATGTTCCTTCGTCAGTAGAATGTTTCATTTTCACTTTCTGTGTATCGAAAGATAAGCATCACGGCAACAGATGATATTCGGCTGAAGCATGTCTATGAATAAGTGACTGCTGGATAATTCTATGGGTACGTTTTATGTTCTTTTCGTTCGTTTTTGTTCAATGATGATTACGCACTTTTTTTTCCACTAGACAGACGCAACCCGCTGAATTCATATTAAATTCTCTCTTTATGATTAGCAGTACCTACCTGTCATTCAATGTGTTAGTCCATTTAAACACGTATCAAAATGATGAATAACACACTTTACACATCATTTTGTAAATCTGGCGTGTAAAAGGTCACTTTAAGAAGTGTAAACTTCATTTAGATCTTATCAAAATATATGAAAGTGTTCAAAATTTATAGAGAAGAAAAAGAAGAAGCCGAAAAAAATGAATCCAATCGAAAAATCTCTTTAGTCAGGCCAGTTATCGAACTTCGAATTTAGTGCTGGGTAGATAGAGTGTCTGTGGCGGAAATTAGTTTTGTGGCCATTGTCATGTTCATAGACTGGGGTATATATTTTTTTCACTGGTCATTAATCTTTTTCATCCAGTCTCGGATTTCTGCATGAAATTTATTCAGTAGCTTGTGTTGATTAACATATTGTCCGTGTTACACGTGTCGTTGAATCTGCTGAATAAGTGAGGTGGATAGACCGAAAATCATCAAGAGATGAAGTGGTTCGCTTTGTAACTGGCCCCATATCAATAATTTAATAATTTCCAATGGGACCATACAACCAATGTAAATACATTGATGACAGCGTATGAACTTTCTTCTAAAACTTCACGAATAAAGCATGAGAATAAAGCGTGGCGCCACTATCTTTCCCCAATATATCATTGAAGTCAATGGAATACATAAGAGTTCAAAAGCGCAGCGATAGATGGCGCCTCTATGAATCCTATACGCAGCTTACTTACTGAATATGGCCCATTTGATAATTTCAAACCCTCGCCCATGTGAGTTTCGTTGGATTATTGCAACATCATTAAACTGAATATTCAACATCTTTTGGATGTCTCTGGTGATGTCCAAATCGGTTGCCGGAGCACTGGAATTAATAATGATGGGTGATCCGCGTAATGGTCACATCGTCAGAGGTGCGATCTCGCGTAGATCAAAAGCGAAAAGTGCCATTTTGATTTTAATAAGATAACCGAAAAATTGATACTTGCTCCAGAGTGCCTTTTGAATATGGAATTCAATGTGACGCGACCTACATCGCCATCGACAACGACTTACACAAAATTTTCGTTCGACTGTATTTCTGTACATAAATGGATAATATTCAAATTGACTCGTGTCACTTATTTAATATTTAAAATTTCATTAAGATGACGAATAAGCCGATGTAGCACGGGAATAACGGGCAGAGATGAATGAGTAAAAGCATTTGGCAAACAGTGTATGGTGTACGGTGTCGATTACGCCACATCCGGAGAGAGATCGGCACATGGAATATGGGAGCGAGTGTGTGTATACGTTCATAATTGCATTATTTATTTGCTGTGAGAAATGTTGCAAATGAAATTTCATCTCTACACCAAGGAGACCATCTCATGCTACGTCTCATACTCCCTCGTAGTCGGAGCGAAGCGTGAATAAAAAATCTCAGGCCAAAAATTACTTTGAGAAAATGCGCGCCAGCAACGCCTAAAAAAATATTGATGTAATGTGCTGAAATGTTGGATTCTCATCTTTGAATAAAGTTGAAATTTGAAATTTTTCTTCGCCCGGAACTAACAAAAAGCCAATGCTCTTAAATAGCAAGTGAAATGAGGTCGCAACGACTACGTCATCCGTTAGTTGCCTTTATTTTTTCGCTCATATTCTCTGGCTGCGTCGTATTTATAATTGCTCAGCGTCAGGCAAAATGCGACACACCGACTTCATTTCAATCAAAGGCAAATAGAAACAAAGAGAGCAACTCATATTCATATATGGTTTTGGTTTGCCGGTAATTTCGTAATTTACATTTGTTCAATATGCCTTGTTATTCTGTGCGCCCCTATCGCCGTGTGTTTTATGTGCATGGAATCGATTTGTGACGAAGGGGAGCTCAGTAAAGAAAATGTGAGTTGTTAATTTGTGTTTGTTGGTATTTTTCTTGACAATGTGCAGGAACGCACTTACATTCAATGGCATCCAAATGAAATTACTTACCTACACCGTACCTTCTTTTCCTCTTGCTCTACTCTCATATTAAATGGATATGCTCGCTTCCAATTTCACCGGCTGAATTCCAGTTCCGCTTTGTACAAAATGCTAATGGGCGAAAAAGTACAAGACATGTCTATGAAAGCAACTTACTCTTTTAGACTCTCGTTCTCACTCCCTCTTTTTCGCGCGCGCTCTCTCGCTTTCTGCTCAATTTTTGCCTCTCTTTCACTCATTCGTCCCGCTCCAACTTTTTTGAAAATGAATAATGACAGCGCGTTCAAATATAATGCCAAATTCATATGATTTCCCGTTGTTCTTTTCTTCCTGCTTTATTGTTCTTTGCATTCGACATTTTGCTCGTTTTCATGTTCATTATGCCATCAACCATTCTGCGACTGTAATTATTATTTATTATTAATATTTTGTCATCATTCATTCGGTAACGATATTTCCACACAAGCACACTGTTTCTGCGCTGTGTGGAGGTGCATGCATACTGATTTATCACAACGAAATGAAAGAAGAAGAAGAAGAAGAAGAAAAAGAACAAACGAAATTTTCATCTACACTTCGATCGATAAATGCGATTATAATTTAGCAGTTTTTGTTCTGTTGAGTCAATAACACCGTAATTTGAAACACAACGTATTGAACCACAAACAGGTGAGATTGTTCTACGTAAATAATCGAAAAACACTTCAACATGGAAACTTACCCATAAATTTCTGCTTATAAATGCGAAACTTTTAAGAGTAAATGCCATTTACTAAATGAAAATTCATAACTTCAGCAACAAATTCTTTTTGTTTACAAAATGACTTCCTGCGAATCTTTATTTACCCTGGACAACTGGTAGATTGAGTATACTCTTTTTGCCCATTATTCATAAGGTTTTATTATGTAGAACGTTCATTTAGTGGATCGTATTGATTTTAGGTCATTATCCGCTTTGCCTAAATACCCAATTTCTGCTAAAAGAACTGCTTGTCAATTCCAAACTGAGCCCAAAAAGCAGGCAAGACGGGAATTGAATGGATTATTATTTCAAGACAACTAAATAATTCATGATTAGCGATTAGTACGGCACTAATGGGAAAATTGAACACGAATGGCACGAATTTCAGTGAATCTATGATAGTATTTCAA